TAATTCAGGGCTCTTTTTGTAGCAGGAACTCCTTTGCATATTAGGCGACACACCCCTAATATAGCCAATCCTCCAAGAGCTTACAGTAGCCCCTGTAAGAAGAGCTCTGTAAGCTCTTGGAGGATTGGCTACATTAAGGGTGTGTTGCCTAATATGCAAAGGAGTTCCTGCTACAAAAAGAGCCCTGAATAATAATAACAACAACAACAACAACAATAATAATAATAATAATGATGATGATGATAATAAACTTTATTGTCATGGTACATAGTACAACGAAATTAAAGATGCAATCATTTCGGTGATCTGCAACAATATTCATATACACTCACACCATTCACAACTGTCTCATAACTCCCTTAAGGTTCACAAGGAACTTAAAACCACCCATGTCACCCAGATTCCAATTTCATGCAGCATTTAAGGCAATAATAGCTCTAGAATAAAAACTTTATAAAAGGACACAAACACAAAGGGTTTTTTTTTAACTTAAAATAAAAATCATGCTTAAAACGTCAGCCCTCTTCCAATATTTTGTCTATTCCACAGTGTCTGATAACTGACACCCCTTGCTCTGAATGACTGCATCAAAATGTCTCTGCTGTTGCAATCTTGAGTGTGCTGTTCAGGTGTGTCTCTGGAAGCTGCAAACCTACCATGACGCAGCAGCGGCAGAAGTGGAAGAAGAAGCAGAAGACAGCCAGTTCCACTGCGGGCCTGATAGAAGCCCTCCGGGGGCCTGATCCGGCCCCTGGGCCGCATGTTAGACACCCCTGATTTAATGGATATCCAGCAAATTTCAGTCACTACATGGCTTGGGGACTAGGGTATCTGAAGAACCGGCTTCCCTCATAGGCTGTTGCCCGGTGATTAAGATCAGAGAGAGAGAGAGGCCCTCCTGACTGTCCCACCAATCAAAGAAGCTTATTTGGTGGGCGCACGAGCGAGGGCCTTTTCAGTGGCAGCCCCATGATTATACAACAACCTCTCCAGGAAGGTGCAACTGGCCCTCTCACTTCGGATCTTCAGGAGGCCGCTGGAGACGATTTTATTTAGGAGTGTGTTTGATTAAAGCAGTCCTAAATTGTGATTTTAAATGTTGCCTTTATGTTTTTCTAACCAGTTTGGTGTAGTGGTTGAGTGCGCGGACTCATAATCTGGGAGAACCGGGTTTGATTCCCCACTCCTCCACTTGCACCTGGCTGGATGACCTTGGGCAAGCCGTAGTTGAGAGCTGTCCTTGAAAAAGAGCTGTTTCCCTCAGAGCTCTCTCAGCCCCACCTACCTCACAGGGTGTCTGTTGTGGGGAGGGGAAGGGAAAGGAGTTTGTAAGCCGCTCTGAGACTCCAAGTGAAGGGTGGGGTATAAATCCAATCTCCTCCTCCTCCTCCTCCTCTTCTTCTTCTATATTGTAAGCTTCCTTGAGTGCCATAGGAAGAAAGGCAGCTAATCAATATCTTAAATAAAGTTAAGCCAGATCTTGGGCATTTCTGACCAGCGTTCAACTAGTCTGACCTCTGCCATGGATTCCTGTTGAGGTGTGAGGCAAACTGCCCTTTCCCCTTGCTTTGTTTATCTAGAAGATGGCAGTGACGATGATAAGAAAGTGACCTGTCGACACGCCTTATGCCGAGTCAGACTGTTGGTCCATCCAGTTCAGCATTGTCTGACAAGCACGATAGCTTTCCAGGGCTCTGGGCAAAGCAAGGTCTTTCCCAATCCCTGTTACTTGAGATCATCTAAGTGAAGACGCCAGACCTGGAACTGAGCCACGGCGTGCATTAAAAAAAGGTTGGGAATGTTTGCAAACTGGGCACCGGGGTTAGAAAGTAGTCCCGTTGGATTGTACCTGGGGTTGGGCTCTTGGAGCGTTATAAGACTGTTGAATCACCGGGAACGTCCCTCTGTTGCTCACTTTCCCCTGAGCTGTAATGAAAGAAGTTGGGTTACAGAAGCTTAAGATCTCTATGCCCTGCCCATGGAAATGACAAGGACAGCAAACATAGACAGGGCCTTCTTAGTGGTGGCTCCCCTTGAAGTTCCACTAACACTTGCTTTATTACCATTTAGGCAGCAGGAGTTGACATCCCCCCCCCCCCACTTGAACTTTTAATTACAACTGTTATCCCATTGCTGGTATGTTTATTCTTGGCTTATTTTCTCACCTGCTGATGCTTCATTCAGGTCTGTTCTGCTTAAAGTTGACAGCCATTAGCTGGCAACCGTGGAGGAGGGGCTAGGACGGGAGGAATGATGTTGCACCAGTGGCATGACATCACTTCTGGAGAATACCCGGAAGTTATGTCACATTGCTGGCATGACCCAGTGCTGCAGTCTAGGATTCAGGTAAAACTCTACGGTAAAACCATAGAAGTTTGCCTGAATCCTAGAGCGTCACATCAGCTTCACACCAGCGACGTGATGTCGCTTCCAGCATGATGCTGCCTTTTAAAATATTGTTTTCCTCACCAGTGTCCCAGCAGGCAACAGAGAGGGAGGCAGGGAGGTCTCCCTGATTTTGCTGCTGACTATCTGTCAGATGCTCGTTTTCATGTTTTTATAGTATAGATTTACTGGCAGAGAGAGGTTGAATTGAATTGTTTTTAAAGTTGCCGTATCGTTGCCTTTCTACACTTCCCTGGTAAAGTCTAGTAAAATTTATCGTTAGCTGCTTGAGACAGATCCTGGAGCGACAAGGTCCAAATAGCCTCCCCTGAAAGGCTTTAGACTCTGCTGAGAACCTCCTGGTGACCCCTGGCCTTAAAGACGTCCGGCTGTCCTTGATCAGAGCCAGGGCCTTTTTAGCCTCTGCTCCCACCTGGTAGAACTCTCTGCCAAATGTCATCCGCGCCCTCCAGGACCTTGGGACCTTGTGCAGTTCTGCAGGGCGTGTAAGGCCGAGATGTTCTGCCAGGATTTTGGTTCAGGACAGCAACGGGTACCCGTCATATCTGGCACTCCCTTCCCCTCCCCCCCCCCTTGCATTTTCTTGCTCACTCAGAAGAGAGCAATGCAATTTGTACTTGCTTTTGCGCCATCTTGATGTTGTTTTAGCTGTTTTGACTCTTGGATTTTGAATCGTACAGTCTCTGTTGTTAACCACCCTGAGCCGGTTTGGTGTTGTGGTTAAGTGCGCAGACTCTAATCCGGGAGAACCGGGTTTGATTCCCCACTCCTCCACTTTCACCTGCTGGATGACCTTGGGCAAGCCACAGTTCTGTCAGAGCTGATCTTGAAAGAGCCGTTTCTGTCAGAGCTCTCTCAGCCCCACCTACCTCACAGGGTGTCTGTTGTGGGGAGGGGAAGAGACACCTTTGGGTAGTGAAGGGCGGGGTATAAATCCAATCTCTTCTCTGCAAATTGTAATGCTCTAATTGTAATTTTATTGTTAATAAGTTATATTGGCTGTTTTATTGATTATTTTTAGATGTACTGCATTAATCTTTACTGGTTTTTAATTGTTGTAAGCCGCCCTGAGCTGCTTTGGCGGGAGGGCGGGATAAAAATCTAATAAATAAATAAATAAATAATTCTTCTTCTCTGTGAACTCAGAGAAAGGCCAGTTTATACATCTAAATGATAAAAAAGAAATAATAAAGAAACAGCAACCCAGCATAACAGGCTGTGCCCCTGGTTCAACCCCTCTGCACCACCACCCCTTAAGGCTCTGGGCGACCTTAGGCCTACCTCACAGGGCAGTTGTGAAGGTGAAATGGAAGAAAGGGACCCTGTATACCACCTGGGGTAAAGGCAAGATGGAAGCAAAATCTACAACCGCGCAGCACCCAGGCATCTTCTCCCACTTGCTTTCTCCAAGCACTGGCTCAAGTGCCAGGAAACATCTTTCCCTGGAGCCTTCTGCATGCACCAGCGTGCTCGGTGGGCAGGGTCTGACCTCATTCCCACTGGTATTTGGAGAAGAGTCGGCTGTTTCTTGTCTCCTCCAGACTTGAGCTCAGAGGAGATAAGATCTTGTCTCACTCTGAGTCCTCTGGCAAGCACAGAGGAGTTGTGTGTGTGTGTGGGGGGGAGCAGTTCTTATGCCCCTTGATGTGAGCTTTTGGATGCGATCAGAAAAAGCAGGAATCTCTCCCGGCACAAACAGAGAAATGTCCAAAATCCTTTGCACAAGCCAAGAGTGACGAAGGGGGAGACACAAATCGAGGACTGTTGGTCTTCCATTTCCCCCCCCCTCCCCAGCAAAGCAATTTCTTATAGTAGAATAATTAGACTTAATAATTCACTTTTGACCCACTTTGGATGCGCTTCAGCAATTGTTAGCAAGCGGATTTACCTGTTTCACACGATAAAATCCAGTAGCAAAGTGGATTGGAAGTGCATTATTCAGCATGCGAGGAACCACCCGAACTAGCATTAGCTGCCTCCTGTTTCGCTCCCTGCCCCTCTCCTACCACTGACCTGGCTGCTCCGCATTTCTTCTTTCCCACCTCCAGAGCCTTTTTGAGGTGGTGACGTCAGAGGCCTCCTACCTGCGTTCGCTGACCCTGCTGATCGAGCACTTCATGGAGTCTCGCGATCTGGCAGCCACCATCCTTGTGCGCGAGCACCGCATCCTCTTCTCCAACATCCGCAAGGTCAAGGAGGTCAGCGAAAGGTCAGCTCCGCCTCTTCCCCTCTGACCCCTTGGCCCCCGCCATCTGGGATCCACTCTAAAAACAAAAGGAGGCCAATGAAGGCGGAGCTACAATCCCTGCCTGTTAGTGTTCACTATGGGCTGAGGTACAGATCTGGAAGAATTGCATGGTATAGCCCTGAACAGGCATTCTGGAAGGGCTGTAACATATGATTTTTCTCATCCATAATGAATGTAAGTCCGCCCTTTAAAAAAATAGACCAATTAAAGGTGGGGCTGTGTTCCCAGCTTGTTTGTGCTCATTATGGGATGTGGTACTGGTTCAGAGGAATTGCATGGTACAGCCCTGCGCAGGCATTCTGGAGGGGCTGTACCACTTGATTTTTTTCTAATCGATCATGAACACGAGCACGCTGGGAATTCAGCCCATCTTGTGGTTGCAGGATCACATTTTCAAATGCCGCCCCACAAGGAAAGAAAACTCTGTGTCCCGTTTGAGGTTGTTCCTAACACCAATTCCTCCCCCCCTTGTGTGCCAACAGATTCTTGCATGACTTGGAAGGCCGCCTCGCCGAGAGTCTGCAGATTTCAGACGTCTGTGACATTGTGGAGGAACATGCAAAGCAAAGCTTCTCGGTCTACATTGACTACGTGCGCAACCAACTGTACCAGGAGAAGACATACAGCACCCTCATGTGAGTGAGAGCACAAGGGAACGGGCCTGTGGGACTGAATCCATGGCTTCCGCATAGCAACAGGGACATTTGCAAAACTCCCCTCCCCTTGGTCTAAATAATGCGGGGTTCACATTTACCACCCACGAATCGAGGTGACCAGTGTTCCCTCTAAGCTGAGTCAGTGCGAGCCAGCTTACAGTTTTTTAGCCTCCAGCTCGCAGATTTTTGTCTCAGCTCAGGAAGGGATGGCTCCAGAGCAAACTAATTTATGCAGTAGCTTAAGACGGGGACGGCAAAGGATGAGACGGTTAGACAGTGTCATAGATGCAACGAACATGAAATTGAGCGAACTTCAGAGGACGGCGGAAAACAGGAGGGCCTGGCGAGACCTTGTCCATGGGGACGGCAAAGGGTGAGATGGTTAGACAGTGTCGTAGATGCAACGAACATGAAATTGAGCGAACTTCAGAGGACGGCGGAAGACAGGAGGGCCTGGCGAGATCTTGTCCATGGGGACGGCAAAGGGTGAGATGGTTAGACAGTGTCGTAGATGCAACAAACATGAAATTGAGCAAACTTCAGAGGACGGCGGAAAACAGGAGGGCCTGGCGAGATCTTGTCCATGGGGACGGCAAAGGATGAGACGGTTAGACAGTGTCATAGATGCAACGAACATGAAATTGAGCAAACTTCAGAGGACGGCGGAAGACCGGAAGGCCTGGCGAGATCTTGTCCATGGGGACGGCAAAGGATGGGATGGTTAGACAGTGTCATTGATGCAACGAACATGAAATTGAGCAAACTTCAGAGGACGGCGGAAAACAGGAGGGCCTGGCGAGATCTTGTCCATGGGGTCGCGAAGAGTCGGACTCGACTGTGCGACTGAACAACAATCGCTCGCTCACCACTTTAATGCCAGTTGCCCACAAAGCAGAAATTTTTGCTGACAAGACTCCACAGCTTAGAGGGAGCGTTGGAGGTGACCCCCAACCTGCTGCCTCCTCATTCCCAGGGCTGAGTATTTTGGATATGATGGAAAGTTCATGATCTCTTTCACCAAACTGAGCGTCTTCAGTATCTGGCAGAGCTGGAGAAGAGCTCTGAGGAACAAATGTGGTGCAGTGGTTAGAACTGAGGAGACCTGAGGTGAAATCTCTGCTAAGCTCCCTTGCTGAGCCTTACTTTACCTCATACAGTTGTTGTAAGGAGGATAAAATGGAGCAGAGGGGAACCACATGCACTGTTCTGAACCCCCTTGAGGAAGGGGGGAAAATGTGAACAAAACAGAGTCAGCATGACGTAGTGGTTAGAGTTTGGGACGACGATCTGGTGGACCCGGGGTTTGAGTCCCCATTCTGCCAGGCAAGCTTGCTCACTGACTTCGGGGCAGTCATTCACTCTCAGCTGAAGCTGCCTCACAGGGCGGTTGTTGCGAGGCAGAAATGAAGGTGAGGAGGGCAATGGGCAGTGCTCCCTCCAAGCTGTGGAGTCTTGTGAGCAAAAATTCCGCTTTGTGAGCTACTGGCATTAAAGTTGTGAGTGAGCGATTCGGCTGCTGCATAAATTAGTTTGCTCTGGAGCCCCATCCTTCCTGAGCTGAGACAGAAATGTGTGAGCCAGAGGCTGAAAAACTGTGAGCTAGCTCACACTAACTCAGCTTAGAGGGAACACTGGCGATGGGGTAACCCGCTCTGAGGAGAACAGTGAGTTATAAATGCAAAAAAAAATTTAAAAAGAGGAGCTTTCCGACATCACAGCACATGAGCAATGTACGTATCTCTTGAGGAGAGCCGGTTTGGTGTAGTTGTTAGGAGCACGGACTCTAATCTGGGAGAACCGGGTTTGGTCCCCCACTCCTCCACATGCAGCCGATGGTGTTACCTTGGGTCGGTCACAAGTTCTCTCAGAGCAGTCCTAGAAAGAGCTCTCTCAGCCCCACCTACCTCACAGGGTGTCTGTTGTGGAGAGAGGAAGGGAAAGGAGGTTGTAAGCTGCTCTGAGACTCTGGCAGGGTATAAATCCAATCCCTTCTTCTTCTTCTTGAAGCATTGTATTTCCTGTAATCACAGAAGCTGGGTACAGAATTCTGCTTGTTCCTTGGCATATGAAGCCAGCCCCCCCCCCCCCCCCTGAGACCAAGTCCAGCCTTTGGTCCCCGTAGCTTAGCTTTCTCTATCCTGCCCGTCAACAGCCGGCCCCACAGAGCTTGAAACGGGGTCTGCCAGGCAGTGATCCTTGCGGGCTTTCTGCACCTGTCCACGCTTTACCCACTGACTCCGCCCGCCTCCTCCCTCCCCTCCCAGGGAGAAGAACCCTCAGTTCGCCGTCGTCGTGACTCGCCTGCAGGAGCTGCCGGAGTGTCAGCGTCTCCCCTTCATGTCCTTCCTGCTGCTTCCTTTCCAGAGGATCACCCGCATCAAGATGCTCATAGAGGTGGGCGGACGTCCTCAACCGAGAGCTCTGCCCGTGGAGCCCTCCTCCCTTCTGTTTCTGTCCTACCTGCAAAGGCGTCTAAGTGGGGTTGGATCTCGCCAGGGCTATTTTTGGGCAGGAACACACAGGAACGGAGTTCCGGCTGGCTTCCAAGTTGGCCACACCCAGCAGGAACTCATTAGCATAATAGGCCACACCCAACAGCAGGAACTCATTAGGATTGGCTACATTAGGGGTGTGTGGCCTAACATGCAAAGGGGTTCCTGCTACAAAAAAAGGCCCTGGGTAAACAGAATAAGAAGCAAAAGGTGGGTGTGGCTGGGTGAGCACACTTCTGGTAACATGGGGGTGTGGCCTAATATGCCAATGAATTGTGCTGTCAGGGGTGTGGCCTAATATGCTAATGTGTTTCTGCTGTTGGGTGTGGCCTATTATGCTAATGAGTTCCTGCTGGGCTTTTTCTACAAAAAAAGTCCTGGATCATGCTATGAAGTGGGAGCCACAGCCTGACAACCAGAACCATATTGAGTGGTGGCGGAAAGGGCCGTCCAGTTGCACCTGATTTATGGCAGCCCCACGGGATTTTTGAGGTGGAGGGTGAACAGAGGTGGTTCGGGATCTCAGAGGCCCAGGCTCAGTTCCCCACTCTGCCATGGACGCTTTCGGAGTGGCCTCGGGCCAGTCGTGCACTCTCAGCCTGAATCACCTCACAGGGCCGTTGTGAGGAGAAAACAGCTCGGGAGAATGATAGAGGCCGCTTTGAGTAAGTCAATAAATAAGTGAAAGATTCGTCCCACCCTTCCTTCCCCATCCAATTTTGTTCCGTCTCCTAGAACATCCTGCGTCGGACGGAGGAAGGCTCTTTGCGAGAGCAGAATGCCATGAAAGCTTTGGCCTCCGTTTCCAAGGTGAGCCAAATGAGAACAGTGATGGTTCTTCTCCTTCTTCTCCTCCTCCTCCTCCTCCTCATCATCATCGTATGGCATTGTGTGTAGAATAATCAGGAGATCTGGCAAGCAGAAGTGCTAGCTCTTTTAGCATTATGCACCACCAGGCCTGTAGTCAGGATTTTTTAAAGTCAGGGGGCATTTAAATTTCTTATAGGGCACTGGCTAATCGAATCAAAGGAATACCCGGCTCCAGCGTTCCCTCTAAGCTGTGGAATCTTGTGAGCAAAAATTCTACTTTGTGAGCGACTGGCATGAAAGTTGCAAGCAAGTGATTGGGCTGCGGCAAAAATCAGTATGCTCTGGAGCCATCCTTCCCGAGCTGAGACAGAAACGAGTGAGCCGGAGGCTAAAAAACTGTGAGCTAGCTCACAGTTTTTTAGCCTCCGGCTCACTCGTTTCTGTCTCAGCTCGGGAAGGATGGCTCCAGAGCATACTGATTTTTGCCGCAGCCCAATCACTTGCTTGCAACTTTCATGCCAGTCGCTCACAAAGTAGAATCTTTGCTCACGGGACTCCACAGCTCAGAGGGAGCATTGCCTGGCTCCTTCCCTGCATTCGCCACTGCTCGGGGGCCCTGGGCTGGATGGGAAGTCGTGGGGGCCTTGCCAGTAAGTCAGGGGGCCTCGCCCCGAGATGCCCCACTGTGGCTACGGACCTGTGCACCACTAGGTGGCGAGTTAGATTTGTTTTTAAGGCAAGAGACGTTTCAGAGGTGGTTTGCCATTGCCTGTCTCTGTGTCACAACCCTGGTATTCCTTGGAGGTCGCCCTTCCAAATACTAACCATGGCCAACCCTGCTTAGCTTCCAAGATCTGAAGAGATCAGGCTCACCTGGGCTATCCAGGTCAGGGCATGGTTGTCATAATTCCGAGAAAGGGATTGGCAAGGGTTTGAGGAGGAAATCCTGTCCGTCCCGTCCCCCGTCCCCCCCCCCCGGGTCTCGGTCTCTGGTTTCTCTCTGACCTCCTTTTCTCCTCCACACCCCTCTCCTGTTATTTGTAGTTGTTGCTGCCCAAACACCAGGGTGTTTTTTCCCCATTGCCCATAAAGTTATGTGTTTATTTTCAAGCATCTGTATGTCGTTTTTCTCCTCGACGGGGCCGTTAGAACACAAAGACACAATTGCAAACCAAACACCGTAGCTGCAGCAGACCCTGTTTTATAGATTTTTCACAAGGGTCAGCACTTAGTTTTTAGAAACTGTGGTGCGTAAACAATACAGTTTTCCTTCCACGTAAAGCAGTCAGTTTCTCATTCTCTTGCTTCTTCCCCCCCTTCCCCAATCCCGGATCCAGATAATAGAGGAATGCAACTCAGAGGTGGGGCGCATGCGTCACATGGAAGAGCTGATCCACATCGCCAGCAAGATCGAGTTCGACAAGCTGAAGGTCAGGATTTGGCCCTCGCGCCTTTCCTTTTCTGGGTCTGCTCCAACTTGCCCGGGCCGTGTTTCCCCGTTCCCCATTTGTTGCTCCAGGCAAATTCAGTTCTTGCTTCCTGAATTGAGCAACACGGCAACAGCCCGTTAAGTTAGCTGTTTTCTCATGGTGAACATCTGTTTCTCTTCCCCCTTTGCCACTATATATGTGTTATGCTCAGTCAACAGAAATGGGAAATCTTTCTATTGGGTTTTCCCCGAGTCACTCAGATAATCCCAGATAGCTCCTTTGAAAAGGCACACAGTGCATCTTTTGTTCTGCAAGGCATGGTTTACATAGCGGAGGGCGGTGTTGCTAGAATTGGGCTTTGTTGTTTGGTTCTCTTTTTGAAACGCCGCTCACATTAGGGCTACCGAGCCCCCCAAGTGGAGCGGAGGATCCCCCTCCCACAAGTTCCCATTGGCTGCTGCCACTCCAAGCAGCAGCAGGGAGAAAATTTAAAAAACCTCACTGGGGTTGTGAGTGTGGTGATGTCGCTTCGGGGGAATAGCAGGCGCTCTAGGAGTCGCCAGAAACTCTGTTGCTTTGCCATAGAGTTTCCAGTGATTCCTAGAGCTACTGCCATCACTTCCAGGGTTCCCTCCCCCGGAAGGGACATCACCATGACTGTGACACCGTATCCTCACCCCAACCCTGTTGCCAGGCTAGCCCACACCTTGTGTCTATATGAATGACCCACTTGGTTGGTCCTGCAAGTCCATTTCGGTGGCAAGGCCCACAGTGACCTGGGTGACATAGGGTTGATGTGTCCTGAACCGAAGGCCGGAAGTGATGACATTTGGGGGGGGACCTTCTCTGACTCCTCTCTTTGGCTGTTCCCCACGATCCAGGCAGTGCCCATCATCTCTCAGAGTCGGCAGCTACTGAAGCAGGGCGAGCTGTTGGAGGTGGTGCATCGCGGCACCATCTTTGGCAACAAGCCCAAACTGGTCCCCATATACCTCTTCCTCTTCAACGATCTGCTCCTCATCACCCAGCGGAAGAGGTGAGTGGCTGCTCTCCCTGGGCCTAAGGGCCGAACTGGACGTGCGCAGGGAGTCCCGTGTCTGAGACTTCCCTGTGGCTGAGACACGCATGGGAAGTTCTTCCAAGGTTGCAGCCAACCTTTTGTGATTTCAGGGCAAGGGATGTTCAGAGGTGTCCTGCCGTGGCCTGCCTCGGCATGGCAACCCTGCAATTGCTTCAGTTAATGTCGAAAGAAGCCAATATTAAATCTCTTTGACAAATATTTTTGCAGTTGAGACTTGTGTAGCTGTAGAGTGGGACCTTACCTTGCGTTAATGCAATAATTCGTTTTCTAACTTGTGGTTATATTTGAATGGTGAGGACAAAGAAGAAAAAAGGGGGAAAAAACTGAACCTAAACCTAGAATTCAGAACCTAAAAAGGTTAGTCAAGAATAGAAGAGGGCCATCTCTGAAAATCTAATTATGAAACGTACAAAAATATACATGTATTTATTCAACATAAATTAAAATAACAAACAAGGGCCCATTCCTACCTCATATACAAATATAAAAACATACAAGGGCTAATAAGATAGACCTAATGCGTTTTGGCCTTTACAGGTCTTCCTCAGAGGTCTAATACAGACAGAACATGTTGGCTGATATGCAAAAATACATACAATCATACATATATGGAATAAAGACCAGAAACCAATTGCTGTAAAAATAAAAGAAATAGAAGATTAGACACATATACTACTAACAAATACATTGTAAATACATTGTAAATATATTACCAAACAAAAAACCATTGACTTACTTCCAAAGTTTAACCACTGGGCAAAGAAAAGAAATACAAAAATACAAATGAAGCCTCCAGTGCAATCACATGTCCAGTAGTACTTCTCTAGAAACAATAAAAGTATATGAGTCAATGCATTTACAAGGGCTAATAAGGTCTATCTTATTAGCCCTTGTATGTTTTATATTTGTATATGAGGTAGGAATGGGACCTTGTTTGTTATTTTAATTTATGTTGAATAAATACATGTATATTTTTGTACGTATATTTGAATGGTGGTCAGCAGGGCTTTTTTTGGTAGAAAAAGCCCACCAGGAACTCATTAGCATAATAGGCCACACCCAACAGCAGAAACTCATTAGCCTATTAGGCCACACCCCGACAACCCAGCTCATGAACCTATTAGGCCACACCCCCATGTTACCAGAAGTGTGGTCATCCAGCCACACCCACCTTTTGCTTGTTATTCTGTTGACCTTGTTTGTTGTCAAAACCCAGGGCTTTTTTTGTAGCAAGAGCCCCTTTGCATGTTAGGCCACACACCCCTAATGTAGCCAATCCTAATGAGTTTCTGCTGTTGGGTGTGGCCTATTATGCTAATGAGTTCCTGCTGGGCGTGGCCAACTTGAGAGCCAGCCGGAACTCCGTTCCTGTGCGTTCCTGCCCAATAATAGCCCTGGTGGTCAGGGAAATTGACAAATGCTGGTCAGGGAAAGTCAGGGAAATTAAAAATTTCAGTGGCAACCTTGGAGGAGGAAGTTGGGGCTGGAGTGCCTTTGCTAGGAGACAAGACCTTGCAGGAGAGGGACGGGACAGCTCAGTTGACTGAGGTCCAGGAGGTGATGGGAATCTGGAATGCCGGAGGAGGAGAGGAGATTGGATTCATACCCCGCCCTTCACTACCTGAAGGAGTCTCAGAGCGACTTACAATCCCCTTTCCCTTCCCCTCCCCACCACAGACACCCTGTGAGGTCGGTGGGGCTGAGAGAGCTCTTTCAAAGATGGCTCCTGAGAGAACAGCTCTGAGAGAACTTGTGACTGACCCAAGGTCACACTGGCAGCTGCATGTGGAGGAGTGGGGAATCAAACCCGGTTCTCCCAGATTAGAGTCCACACTCCTAACCAAACTGGTGCCTGGGAAAGATTGTTGGAAAAGCTCAGACCTTGGCGTTACCAGAGAAGGTGACGTAAAATATGCCTCCCAGAGAGAAGCAACTGAGAAGATAGCCCAAGATGGGGTAGCCGTGTTAGTCTGCCTGTGGCAGTAGAAAAGGGCAAGAGGACTGAGGCAGTCGCAAAAGGAGAGGCAACTCGGGTGAGAGATTCTGGTGAACAGGCAAGATGAGTAATTCGTAGTAGAGGAACAGCAGAGGTGTGGTTGATCCTGGGGAGACACCTTGTGGTGAGAACAGAGATGTGAAGGCCCGGAAAAAACCCGTTTTATTTCCATTTTTTTCCTGAAGCCTTTTGGTTTTTTTCCGAAAAATTGAAAAAAGAAAAAAAAATGATTATGGAACGTTTTATTTTAACACGATGAATAAAATATTTTAAGACAAGGTGTTCAAATATTTTCCAAGGTGTTCAAATATTTTCCAAATCATTTCACATATATATATATGGTATCAGATTGATCTAATTACCATATATATATATATGGTATCAGATTGATCTAATTTCTGTGCACTGAGGACAAGCAAGTCCTAGGTTACAAACTGAACCCTCCAATGCAAGAACAAGATGCATGTCTTCCTTTAGGAGGTGCGATTGTCAGAAGAAAATAAAAAAGTTTCAGTTTTGTTTTTGCATGTGGGTGGGTATTCTGTTTGAAATAATTGTTTGGATACACTATATTTTTAATATGCTAGTTGTGATAATTTCGTGCCAAGTAAAAATGTCCATAGTCATATTTTATGTTCCTAAAGTAACAGAATGACTTTCAATCTAGAAAAGACAAAAGAAATGCTAATGTAGCATTTTTCAATTTTTCCGAAAATTTCGGGTTTTTCCCCGGGGGAAAAACGGGAAAAAAACGAGTTTTTTTCCAGGCTTCAAAATTTCCGGAAGTTTTACATCTCTAGGTGAGGATCGTGAGTGACTAAATAAAAGAGCACCTGAATAGACCTCTTATAACTCTCTGACCCTGGAGATTTTGGGGATGAGGCCTGGGGAGGGCGGGGTTTGCTCCCTTTGTCAGGTAGTTTGTCAGGAAGCTTTGACTCCCAGAAGTCCGTACCCAAAAAATCTTGTTCTCTACGTTGCTGTTGGGCTTGAATCTAGTTGTTCACCTGCAGACCACTAACACTAGAGAGCGACTGTGGAGATGGGGAAGACGGGATTTGGATTGGAGCTGACACCCCGGGGCAGGAGGAAATGAATCTTTCCTCATTCCCCCAGTAGGGACGGCTCCCCTGTGGGTGATCTGCGACAAAGCAATTTCTGACAGAGAAATGCCAGGCAAAAACACTTTGTCAGGTAGTCTGTCGGGGAGCGTCGGCCCTCAAAAGTTCATACCCCCCAAAATCGTGTTCTCGACGTTGCTTCTGGACTTGAATCTGACCCAGGGAGCTTTGACGCTCCAAAGCGCATACCCCCAAAATCTTGTTGGTCTCTAAGCTGCTACTGAACTGGAACCTAGCTTTTCTACTGTTACACATGCAGCGACAGGGGTCATTTCGTAGGAAAAGAGGTGCATGAGCTCATTAGCATAACTTATTTGCATATGCCACACCCCCTGACATCACCGGAAGTGTGTCAGAAGGCACCACTGGACTGTTTTGGATTGCTAGCTATTGGGGGGTGGGGGGAACGTGCAGATCTCTCTTCGCAGAGGAGGGAGAGCTTGTACCTGAATAAAACTTGGCCTTAAAGGTGCCACTGGACTGTTTTGGACCGGGGGAACTCTGCAACTTACCTGGCTGCTTCTTGCTCTGACTGAGGGCTGCTGGGAGCAGGGGGTGGGGCTTGTTGCATGTGCCCGCCCCCTGGGCTCTTTACGGCCGGAGCTCCGCTCCTGTGCAGGAAATGACCCCTGTGCAGCGATCTGATTCCAGAGTCGGTCCCAATTCCTTACCTTACCTTTTCCTTCAGTTCCGAACGCTTTGTCGTGCTGGATTATGCCCACCGCTCGCTCGTTCAGGCCCAGGGCTGCGGGGACGCTTTTGCAGGCAACAGTTCCGAAAACAGCTTCTACCTGACCCTGCTCGAGAACCACCAAGGCCGGAGTATCGACCGCCTCTGCCGTGCCCCGACACAGTGAGTGGTTGGGTCGGAGGCTGGTGAGCTCGAAAGGGGAGTGTCTCAAAGGGTACAGATGCTATGGAGGGAGTCAACAAGAGTTGGATGGGTTTTTCCCCAAAGCGTTCAAACTTGGACGGTTGTCGACTGGAGCAGAAGGCGTGGCCACGCAAGACGTCTGTCACCGAAGACAGAAGTGTCAGACTCATTTGTTATGAGGGCCAGATCATCTGACATAATGTCACTTTGTCAGGCTAGGCCACGTGTGCCATAAAATGTAAAGCCAGGTACTGGAGATATAAATGTTATAAAAGGACACCGGCAAACCCAATTAACGGTATCATTTTTTTTTTACTCGATTTACAAACAAAAGCAATTGATTGCTAGTGGTGAAAGCAACTGATTTCCTGGGGGACCCACAAAAGCCCTAGTAAATGTATTTAATCATAGGCAAGACTAGGTTTTTTCTAAGGGATGCCATAAAAGGGGGAGTACCTTCCGTTTCCAGTTGCTCGTGGGCCGGATGTGTGCCCTGGATGGGCCAGTTCCGGCCCCTGGGCCGTATGTTTGCCACCCTTGACCTAAGAGCTGCACTGTCGTGCGAGATTTTAACCGAGAATAGTCAAGTACAAGTGGGAACAGGCCTACCACTTGTCGAGCCCTTTCCGTAGGGAGCTTCCTGATACGGAATCAGACCATTGAGTCCATCTGGCTCAGCGTTTTCTCCTTTGACTGGCCGTGGCTCTCCAAGATCTGCATGTGGGGAGGGGGAGGGTGCTGCAGTCCTTTTGCTCCAGGAGACCAGGACTGAATCTGGGACCTTATTTGGGCAGCGCGTTCAAGGTACCAGGACACTTCTTCCCCTGCAAAACCTCCATGGTTTATGCCTTTGGTTCCAGATCAGACATGCATCGCTGGATGGGCGCCTTCCCCTGCCATGAATCCCAGCCCAACAGCAAGCAGGAAACCATCTACGAGGATTGGGGTGAGACCCTCGGCTTCCTCCCTCCCTCTTGTATCCTACCAGCAGAATGTATCAGTCCTGTCGGGAGGGTTACCATCAGTGCTCCCTCTAAGCCAGGGGTGTCAAACTCATTTGTTATGAGGGCCAGATCTGACATAAATGAGACCTTGTTGGGCCGGGCCATGTGTAGCGGAGATATAAACTTTACAAAGGACACAGACAAACACAATTAACGATTTTTAAAACTTTAAATAACACATTTCCAGTGAGTTCGACACCCCTGCCTAATCTGTTTTGTGAGCAAAAATTTTACTTTGTCTTGTGAGCAAAAATTCTTCTTTGTGAGCGACTGGCATTAAAGTTGTGAGCGAGCGATTTGGCTGCCGCATAGATTAGTTTGCTCTGGAGCCATCCTTCCTGAGCGAAGACAAAAACGCATGAGCCAGAGGCTAAAAAAACCTGCGAGCCAGCTCACACTAACTCAGCTTAGAGGGAACATGGGCTGCCAGCCTTCAGATGGGGTCTGGAGGCCTCCCAGGGTTGCAGACTACAGAGATCTGTTCCTCTGGAGGAAATGGCTGCTTTGGAGGATGACTCTGTGGCATTATACTCCGCCCTCCCTAGACTCCACTCCCAAATCTCCAGGTATTTCCCGACGCAGAGTTGGCAACCACAACTGTGGTTCTTTGCCTGAGTTGAGTGGCGTGGCTTCTGTGACTGCTGAGAGGTCTGGAGCGTTATCCGTCTGGAAGGCCAGTGGCAGATACACCAGGGGCTGGTTCTTCCTACTTCCTGCCGAAGGGACGCACTTCCTGCTCGAAGGCACCTTCCCGTTTCTCATTGCCTGGGCCAGAGCTGTGCTATCAGCTGAGTACATCTCTATCCCACGCTGCCTCCAACAAATTCCGGCTGGCGCATACAGTTCTCCCCTTTCCTGTTTTCTTCCTACAGCAGCCCTGAAGTGTAGGGTTGGGTGAAACTGAGCAGCTGGCCCAAGATCACCCAGAAGACATCCTGGTAGCAAGGGGATTTGAACCCGAGTGGTGCAAATTGTAGCCTGATATTCTAACCGCAATTCTACCTGGTCTCTGTGGCCTCCAGTTCAGATCTGCGGAAGGAGCCTTGGTTTGGATCTATGCTTTTGTTTTAAAATATTTTTAATCAATATATTTATTTACATCATTTGCATCCTGCCCTTACAAGGGCCACCGAGATGGCCAACAATTTAAAACAAAAGATGATAAAATCACCTATTAAAGCCGTGTGAAATTCAGGTACCTGTTCAGCTTCACTCTCCAATCCAGTCCACCTTCCTGCCCAAGAGTTACCAGTTCTCCTTGGCTCTAAACCTTCCTGGTGGCTTTCCCCATCATCTCACTGGACTTTCCACTTCCTTTGCAGCTTCTCCCTGCAATATCCTATGGCTGATGTTCCCTCCCTCAGCAGCTTGTAAGCAATGTTCCCTCTAAGCTGTGGAATCTTGTGAGCAAAAATTCTACTCTGTGAGCTCCTGGCATTGAAGTTGTGAGCAAGCGGTTTGGCTCCTGCATAAATTAGGTTGTTCTGGAGCCACCCTTCCTGAGCTAAGACAAAAATGTATGAGCCGGAGGCTAAAAAACGGTGAGCTAGCTCACACTGACTCAGCTTAGAGGGAACACTGCTTGTAAGATGTTCTGGTATCGGGATCTCTCAACAGCTCCCGTCATTGTAGTAGGCCCGTCTTTTCTTTTTTCCCCCTTCCAATTTTAAAATGTTTATTAAGAGGAAGTATAACATATCAAAACATATAATAACTGCAGAACAGTATACAAATGTCCTGAGAATCCAGAATTAATCACCATTAAAAAATTTTTTACAACATACATCAACAGTCATAACAAACTAAGTTAGTACTAAATCCGTTCACCTATACATAAGTGCTGTGTGAGCTGTGAATCCGATAGAATTGAGTCAAGTCTAAAAGATAACATCTTCAGGAGTCTGCAACTCCTCTATGAAAGGCTTGCTCTCAAAGGTTTACAAGATTTTAATATCTGCTGAAGGTTCCCGACCCATTCCTTGCCAAGAAATGTGGAAAGCAGACCTGGCCCGTCTTTGAGATCACGACAGAAAGCCAGTTTTCGTTTTGTTTGTTCCACATGTGCTGGGGAATTGCTTTTCCTGCACTTGACTTGTGCTGAGGTCTCTTTCTCCCTCTCCCTCCAGACTGTCCCCAGGTACAGTGCATTGAGGCTTACGCAGCCGCCCAGGCTGACGAACTGAGCCTAGAACCCACCGACATTGTCAACGTCCTTCGCAAGACCAACGAGGGTAAGTGTCTGCTGCTCCAATCAAACCCATGCCAGTGTGAAGTCCGAACACAAATATTAGGAGATCCTTTGCAGAACGGAAAGGATAATAGCATAAATAAAAGGATAACGGCCATTTTGGAAGGATTTCATTAGCTGATACATTTTGCAGCCGCATGCGGCACAGGGAGTCTTGGTACCTTGCTCCCTTGCTTTATGGATTGTCCAACATTCCATAGGTGTAGAGCCATATTTGTGTCTCCCTTTTTAATAGATCGGGTTTGTCTTCTAGCCCATCGTATGTTACAGATTCTTTTGTCTGGAAGTGATCGTAATACCTCTCCGTCAGTTGCCAATTTTTCCCTGTGTCATAAAATTTAATAGATAGTCCGATTTGGACAACTTGGTGCTCTAATTGTTATGGTTGTAATTGTTGTTATCATTATCATTGTTCTTTTGTTGTTGTCTTGTGGCTGAACTGTTGATGCTCGAGACTGTAGTCACAAGAGCAGAGAATCAGCGGAATTGAATAGGATAAATAAAGGGATGAAAGGACTCAGATCTCCACTTCTACTCTACTGTGTCTGACGAAGGGAGTTTTAACTCCCAAAAGCTGATCCCCTGAAACTCTTGCTGGTTTTTAAGGTGCTATTGAACTTGTATCTAACTGTTCTACTGCAGACCAACACGGCTCCCCTCTGAAGCTTTGCAGAAATGGGAACTGTAAGAGCAGGGGGGAGGTGACTGTACCATGTTCGTAGCGCCATTCACATTATAGACCCCCGCCATCAATACCTGGCTTTTCTTAGGCTGGTTGTCTAGTAAAGGTAAAGGTTCCCTTGCTCGAAAGCCAGTCGAGTCCGACTCTAGGGTTGCGGTGCTCATCTCCGTTTCAAAGCCGAAGAGCCAGCGCTGTCCGAAGACGTTTCTGTGGTGATTTGGCCGGCACGACTAAACACCAAGGCGCACGGCTGTCTACCACCAGGTTAAAACCTGCCTTTTTAAGAAAGTGTTCCCTGCAGAACAAGACAGTGGTTTGTCTCGTTGATTTTCTGGTGGTTTGAAGGGGCCCTTTAGACTAGCGTCACCCTGTTCTCCCTTCTGCAAGGAGCCATTTAGGCGAGTGACCAGGATGCCGTCTTGTGGCACAGAGTTCCGTAGTGCACAGCCTCCTTACCCTGCGGAGTGGAAAGTATTTGCAGATGGGGCAGCACCCATGTCCTGGTTCAGAAACATTCCCCCCTTAATCCATCTTAAAGTTCTGCACAACTTGAAAACCTGGGAATGGCAAACGCTGGTTGGTGTTTTTACTCTCTCCGAATGCACGTGAAGCTGTCTTATACTGAATCTGACTGTCTGTCCATCTCCATGTTTTCTACTCAGACTGGCAGCTTCTCTCCAGGGTCTCTGGCAGAGGTCTTTCACATTCACCAGGCACCTTCTACATGCCAAGCAGATGCTCTGCCACTGAGCCACAGCTCCTGTGCGACTAGTTGGCTAAAGTACTTTCCTTTTAACAACTTTTACGAGTTCCCGGCTGGTACTTTACTCCTCCCCTCACACACAAGACACAATAGCAAAACACACAAGGCAAAATATCACCAGTGAGCTCTTCCAGTTATTTGACAGCTGAGGAAGGATTTTAAAAAGGGAAATGCTAACGGTCCCCTCTCCATTCACAGGCTGGTATGAGGGTCTCCGCTTAGCTGACGGCAAGAAGGGCTGGTTCCCCTCGCGCTACGTGCAGGAGATCACGAACGAGCACGTGCGGCGGCGCAATCTCCGCGAGAGGTACCGCGTCCTGCAGGCCGCCCGCCAGCTTCAGCTGACGCGCACCAGCCACGGCAAGGGCAAGTACAGTTCCGCTTGAGATTACAAGTGCAGATCAGCAAAGTGACCGCCGGGAGCGCCGGAGATGCCAGCTGACGCCTGCGCCTCTGAAGGCTGTGCCGCTGAATGCAGAAGTACTGCCACCAGGAGATGTCGGAGAGAGCAGCAGCAGCAGCAGCAAACGGATGGTTGTAATGTTGATGGAAGGCCTCTAGAGGGAGGTAGAGCCATGTTGCCTTCCTGACCAAAGACGACAGTGACTGTAATGCCATAAACAGGCCACCGGAGGTGCCAGAGCAAGACCTCCGAATGAATGTCTTTTCTGCATATCGTTGCCACAAGGTGGAGAGGGACTGTCAAGCATCTCCAACTCTACTGCACTGCACGTGGGACTTTGAATGGTTCTGTCATCCCTGAGAACTAGTCCAGACTCCTTAGACACTGCCTTGCTTGGGAAGGATCTCCGTACTCGAGAGAAACAACGAGCTTTCTCAATGGGTTGATTGCAGGGGGGGAGGATGGGGGGGACTGTGGGACAGACCCAGTACATCTGAGCTGCTTGTGGGGAGGGGTGTGTGAAGATTGTCCCTGGTGCGATGACATTACCAGGCTTGGAGTATAGAGGTAAGACAACTCAAGGGCGGAAGAGTCTTGGCTTTTCCTTCCCACCAGCTTCCACAGGGCAGAAGCTCCTGCTCGTTTCCTGTCCTGGGTTTGGGGTGGGCCGGGGAAAGGGGGTGATTGACACATCAAGAGGAGGCCTTTCCTCACACGAAGGCGGAATGGGCACGCGTGCCCCTTTCCCCCCAACAATGTACCCAGGGGTGGAGCTTGAGAAATTGAAGCTGCCCCAGAAGGAGCCAAACTCAGTGGATGCTGCAGTGCGACCAGGTTTGCTGGGGTCAGATTTAGCTGGCTGCGAAGATCACGGGGCGAGCCCATCCCTTCCGGCGTTGCCGCTGGCCAGACGTGACCCGAACGGCTCTCGCATTGCTGCCGCCCGGCTGCCAGTGGCTCTCCAGGGCTGCGGCCCACTGGGAACATTTCCCGGCGAGTTGATGGACTGGCCCCTCCCCGAATGCATCTGATGTCACAAGAGAGATCGGCGTTTTGTATGGACCAACATGGTCCCCCCCCCTTTTTGCACGTGTTGAATCATGCAACTGTGTGCAGCACCTGCCTCGCCCTCTCCCTGGGGTGTGCACGTCCAGTCCAGTCCATTCCTCGCGCACCAGGCCAAAGCGGTGAGCTCGATGCCGCTTGCAGGCTCTCAGGATCCCTGTCCCTCCGGGGTGCTCTTAACTGCTTCGTGCGCCACACCTTTTTTCTCTTTAAGAGTCTGGGGACGCTGCACAGCAACTCCCTTGTGCAGATTACCAATACAGGAGCCGCACTGTGACCTTCACCTGCCGATGCCCGGGCCCGTCTCGGTGCCATCTCTGCCAGTATTTCATGGGCCCTTCCTGGCATTCGCTCACGGCCCCCTCTACCTCAGTGAGGATGCTCCTTTCCAACTTAGGACTGCCCTTTTCTTAGCCCCCAGTTCCCCGAAAGGGTCACTGGCTCGGTCCACGTGTGTTGGGCCCAGAGTATGTGTTTTCTCTCCCCTCCGGCGCTGGCGTCTGATCCACTGCTCCCAAACGGATTTCCTCCCAATGCCAAGCCTGGAGGGGACGCCCCGAGATCTTTGCAGGTAAGGTGCCCCCCCCCCCACTCCCGTGACCACGGACCAGTTTGTATTTATTAGCTTAATGGTCTCCGAACTCCCCGTGCGGAGAAAGGGGACCCCACGCCCACCCAGTGAACACTCCAGAGCGCCGGTAGCCTCAGAAAGGGTGGAGAGGGGAAAAAAAAGTATTTAATTTATTCTGTATCATATTTGCCTGGATTGTCATGTCTTTTTGTTTTGATAGAGAAAAAAAACAAGCAAACGAACAAACGGCTTGTCTGTGTATTTTTTTTAAAGACAAAAAGAATAAGACGCTGGGGACGCTGGTGGGTTGGCGCTGGCTGCAGTTCTTCAGAAGGTAGCACTTAAGGTGTGGCTGAAACCGATAATATTGTGGGCACTGATGTTCAGTGTCTGCTGTTGTCAGGGGAAGGGGGAACTGTTAATGGCCTCCTAGTGTCAAAAGTGACTACCGGCGGTCAGTCCTTACCAACCCCTGTGCAACAGAACCTTTTTGTCGTTGTTGTTATTCAGCCGCACAGTCGAGTCCGACTCTTCGCGACCCCATGGACCACATCACGCCAGGCCCTCCTGTCTTCCGTCGTGCTCCGGAGTTTCCTCAACTTCATGTTCGTTGCCTCAATAACACTGTCTAACCATCTCATCCTTTGCCTTCCCCTTCTTCTTGTACCTTCAATCTTTCCCAGCATCAGGGTCTTCTCCAGTGAGGGCTCCCTTCTCATTCGGTGGCCAGAGTATTTGAGCTTCAGCTTCAGTATCTGGCCTTCCAGGGAACAGTCGATTTCTTTTAGGATTGACTGATTTGATCTCCTGGCAGTCCAAGGGACTCTCAAGAGTCTTCTCCAGCACCATCACATTCAAAGGCATCTGCTCTTTGGCGCTCGGCCCTCTTTATGATCCAACTCTCGCAGCCATACATTACTACCGGGAATACCATCACTTTGACCACACGGACCCTGTTGGCAGGGTGACGTCTCTACTTTTTATTATGCGGTCTAGGTTTGCCATCGCTTTCCTCCCAGGCAGAACATACCACTGTGTTATGTGCAAACAACCAGTGATGCCCTAAGATAGGAGCCCCCAATGGGGTGCCTGCCAACACCTTTCCTGGTGTCCATCAAGTCTTTTTAGGAAGTGGGCGGGGCCCGGTTGGGCTTCCGAATGACTACGGGAGATTTACTTGGCTGTGCAGATTTTTTTTTTTTTTAAATGTTGCTTTGGCAGCACCTGCCACCACAGCACGAGGATCCGCACTGTGTTGCCAAGGTTCAGCTGTGGCGGCCATTTTGTGGCTGGCTTTGCCTCCTGCGACGGCTGTTCTGTTGCTGCGCCACCATGCCATGTCAGAATTCCAGCTGTGCCCGCAGGCAGAAAAAGGTTAGGAGACCCCTGCTCTAAGAAAGTCGACTTGTCATCTGATTGCCCACTGGAGATTTGATGGGTTGTGCAGCTGCCCTCCCAACATTAAGGATCGTCACTGTGTGACTGAAGAGGCAAGCTGCGGCAGCCATTTTGTGGCCATGGCCAGGGCTCTTTGTAGCAGGAACTCCTTTGCATATTAGGCCACACACCCCTATTGTAGCCAATCCTCCAAGAGCTTACAGAGCTCTTCTTACAGGAGCTGCTGTAAGCTCTTGGAGGATTGGCTACATTAGGGGTGTGTCGCTTAATATGCAAAGGAGTACCTGCTACAAAAAGAGCCCTGCCACGCCATGTCAGAAGAATTCCAAAGGTGCCCACAGGCCCCAAAAGTTGGGGGCCCATGACACAAATGAACAAAGAGACACCCTAAAAACCGAGTATACTTCTGGAGGAAGGGAATGTTGAATGCAGCTCAGAGTCAGTTCAAGGTTCAAGAGGGGAAAGAGATAACAGCTTATGCGGAACAGACTGAAATGTGGAGGGAGGGAATTTCAAAACTGTTTCTTCCCTCTCTACTCAGGATTCTTTACAGGCAACTGGTTTGCTTATGTTCTAAAAGGGAGCCATTTTGGGTGGTAACCTGGAAAATGTATCTGATGTTTCAACTTGGGTGAGAAAGGTCTATAGTCCCCTGTGACTGTGGAGGACTAACTCCTGTCCCTGTCAGAGTAGCTGTATTGGTTTACACAATAGATAGGATAAGGTGGCTGAGGAATACCACCTTCAACCCTCCCCCCCCTTGAAATCTTTAACTAGTAAGAATAACTTGGCTCCTGTTAAGAGGCACAGGGGGATATGCTTCGCTCTGAAATGGAACTCTTCCTCTCCATTCCGCCTTCTCGAGCGCCACTGACCCGGAAATAGGCTTGTATAAAATGTAGATTTATTCGGTGAGCTGTGAAACAGCACTGCCAATAATTTAACACATGCTTTATACAGGAAGTTGCCCGCTGGTGCTGCATACGACCTGCCAGCCGGACTAGGCTGCGGGCCGAAAGCCCAAAGGATTATGGGAGGTTGAGCAACACCCCCTTGGAGTAAAGACTCGCCAGAACTCCCTGCTGCCTCCGGGCACTTCTTGGGTCAACCATACCAAAAAAAGGCAGAGGCGCTTCAAAGCATCTCTCCACCCCACTCTTGGAAGGCATCATTCACACTTTAAGTAGCACTTTGGGGTAACCTTTCTGGCCCTGTGACTGGTGGGTGTGTAGCAGCCGCCACCCACATCAGGGTGTTAAAAATGTGAAGGACATAAGTGGATGTAGCTCCCTCCCCCAGAGGAAACAGGCACTTGTTAGAGGATTGGCATGTTTCTGGGGGGTGGGGCAGCATCCTGGGGAGAAAAATTAAAAAGAAAAACGAGACCTCTCATCTACTTACAGGAAGCTCTGACCATAGAGTTCCTGGCTATTCCTAGAACTACCCAGTGTTACTAGGAATTATCATGAACTCTATGGTCAGAACTTCCTGTAAGTAGACAAGGCCTCGTTGTACACTTCTGGGTAGCTCTAGGAATCACCAGGAACTCTGTGGGCAGAACTTCAAGTAAATAGACAAGGCCCTCTTTCTCTATTTTTCTCTCCAAGATGATCCCCCCCCAGTTTCGGCCTGCCAGTCAAGTGAGCATTGGTAGGCAAATGGGAATAATAGTTTTTACTGTCTCCAGAAGTCTTGGGCTTCTACCTACAGCCCTCTTTCAGGCCCTGTAAGATCAGGGGCCTGTCCGGTCTGCCAATGGGTATTAGAACTCGTGATTCTCACATGCTCTCTTGCCCTTCTTCAGTTCCCTAAAACAAAGAGAGGTGCTACAACGTGCGCATAAGGAAGCTGGGGGGCCCAGGTTCAAATCTCTACCACAGAGCTTGCTGGGTGACCTTGGGCCAGCTGGAAGACTGCAGGCTTGAGGAACCTCGTGCCTGGGCCACAGAGGCAAATCTCCAGGGCGGGATCCCTGTTAAGAGAAGTGGTTGTTGTGGGTCCACAGAAGAGAAGCAACCAGCCTAAACCAGTTTGGATTGTGGTGCAAGTCTGCCTGGTTCATACCACGGCTGGGCAGGCAGAAGGCAGCGATGGCTCCAGACCCTAGTGGTGACCTAAGTTCTGCACGAGGCAGGGCTGGGTCTGTCTGTGCTGGGCAGGTGGGTTCCCGTGTCTCTCTCTCCCTTCCGAAGGCACTATGGAAAGTGGCAGTGGGGCGAGCGAGGAGACCTCTTCTGCCCCCCACAAGTCTTTGGTTTTCAGTGCTTTGACCGCGGTGGCCCGTTCTGCACCCCAGGGCCAAAAAGGAGGCCGGACGGGCGTTAGGGGTCCACAAAAGAGACCATGATGTAGCGGGTGCCACTGGTCGTGGGCAGTCCTTCGTGGTAGTGAGTGAGGCGTCCGGGGTGCATCAAGCTCCAGCCCTTGCGGGGGGATTCCACAGTGCAGTTGTAGCGGATAAACCGGCAGCCTCCGCCCTGTACGGGACACAGAAAGAAACATCCATGTCAGTCCTGTGAATTGATTCACGAGCCCTCTGTGGCCGGGGAGTAGAGCGACAAGTGAGCAAAGTTATGGATTTATTTTTGTTGAACAGTGATTGTTTTTAAAACCACGAGTCCGGTGGCACCTTTAAGACTAACAAAAGTGTCTTCAGGGTGTGAGATCTCGTGTACACAAAATGTATTTAACTTGAGGCACTTTCTGACACAGCGATGGCCAGTCGGCTCAGATGACTTTCAGAAAAAGAACTGGAGAAATTCATGGAAGAAGGCCATTAGCTGTGCGGACTCTTCCTTGTTCAGCGGCAGTATGCCAGTTTCTGGGGGGGGGGGGCAGCCCAGGAACAAAGGAGGTTTTATCGTCTGAGCCTTCCCCTACAGGAAACAGGACACTGCTGGACACGAGGGACCCTTGGTCTGATCCAGCAGGGCTCATATGTTTCTAAATCCCCAATCAGCCACAAAAATCAGAGTGACTTTGGGTTGGTCACTTGCTCTCCACCTAACTGATCTCACAGGACTGTTGTGAGGAGAATAGGAAGGAGGAAAGACCCGTGTATTGCCACCCTGATCAACTAGGAGGAAAGACGTCATAAAAATATGACTGACTACCCCCTCGGTTGATACTGGGAGCCAAATCACCCTCAGGGAACCATCTCTGCTAGTATGGAAGGCGAGGGAGGGCATTCAATGGAACACACACACTGACAGTGCCTTTCTGCTGCCTTGGAGAGCCAGTGTGGTACATTGTTTAAGAGCGGTAGATTCTAATCTGGAGAACCAGGTTCAATTCCGCACTCCTCCACATGAAGCCAGCTTGGGTCAGTCACAGCCAGGGCTCTTTTTGTAGAAAAAGCCAGAAGGAGCTCATTAGCATTATAGGCCACACCCAACAGCAGAAACTCATTAGCATATTAGGCCACAGCCCTGACAGCACAGCTCATTAGCACATTAGGCCGCACCCCCATGTTACCAGAAGTGTGCTCATCCAGCCACACCTACCTTTTGCTTCTTATTCTGTTTACCTTGTTTGTTGTCAAAACCCAGGGCTTTTTTTGGAGCAGGAACTCTTTTGCATGTTAGGCCACACACCCATAATGTAGCCAATCCTAATTAGTTTCTGCTGTTAGGTGTGGCCTATTATGCTAATGAATTCCTGCTGGGCGTGGCCAACTCGGGAGCCAGCCAGAAATCCGTTCCTGTGCGTTCCTGCCCAAAAATAGCCCTGGTCACAGCCAATGCTCCCTCTTAAGCTGTGGATCCTGTGAGCAAAAATTCTACTTTGTGAGCTACTGGCATTAAAGATGTGAGTGAGCGATTTGGCTACTGCATAGGTGAGTTGGCTCTGGAGCCCCATCCTTCCTGAGCTAAGACAAAAATGTGTGAGCTGGAGGCTAAAAAACTGTGAGCTGGCTCACACTAACTCAGCTTAGAGGGAACAGTGGTCACAGCTCTCTCAGAGCTCTCTCAGCCCCAAAAATATGTATAGCCTGCCACCTAGTGGTGCGTAATGCTAAAAGAGCTAGAACTTCAGGCTGCCCGACAATCTGACTACACACAATGCCATACGATTATTAATTCTACTGCCTCGTTTCATGAAAGAGTAACTTGCTGTCTACAAAGGCAACGGCCTTTTCCCTGACCTCTCCGTACATCCCCGCAACCCCGATGGCTTTAGCCACCTCTTGAGGCAATGCTCACCTGATAGTCCACTCCTTTATGGTTGAGAGCAATATTGATGGTGAAAGTGGATGAATCGTGATGTGGACGGAGGAAGGGTTGCTCATCAGGTCGGTACCGGACCATGAAGTTCATGATTGCCCGAGCCTGAGTAGTGAGAGAGAGAGAGTCAGGGTTCGCTTGCTGGAGGAGACCATTGCACACAAATACCCACACGTCCCTAAAACGGGGTTCCTAACTGGATCGATCCCAGATTCTACTGCAGTGAGAAAGCCTGTAAACACGCAACCTGATGGGAGATTTTGTGTACTGGAGAAGAGTCGGTCTCCTTCACGGCACAATTCATAGAATCATCGAGTTGGAAGGGGACCTCCAGGGTCATCTAGTCCAACCCCCTGCACAATGCAGGAAATTCACAAATATCTCCCCCTCCACACCCCCAGTGACCCCCATTCCATGCCCAGAAGATGACAATAAACCTCCAGGATCCCCGGCTAAACTAGCCTGGAGAAAAATTGCTTCCTGACCCCAACGTGGCAATCAGCATTTCCCTGGGCGTGTCAGAAAGGGCCACGAGAACTAAGCACTAATGTACAAAAACCAATGCCATGTGTGAGGCTAGTGCCAGTTTTTTATGGTTGCTCTTTGCCCTGCCTTGCAAAGCTGCAGGCAAGTTTCCCTCAATCAAAAGAAATAACCGCTTATTTTCTACTACTTTTCCCCAATCACTTGTTTCTCTCTGCTTAAGTGACTACTTTGTTCTGCCGTGTTCTCTCCCACTGGAGTTCTCATTAGCCCCGTACACATTTTAAATAAATGCACGTGCAAATCCATGGACACAGTTTTCTTTGTACGCATGTTGAGAATTGAGGGTTGAGAATTCTCAACACATGTACAGCCGAACGTCCTGTTTAAACCCCACATTTAAGAACATAAGAGAAGCCAATGCTGGATCAGGCCAATGGCCCATCCAGTCCAACACTCTGTCACACAGTGGCCAAAAATACCAGGTGCCACCAGGAGGTCCAGCAGTGGGGCTGGGACACTAGAAGCCCTCACACTGTTGCCCCCCCCCGCACCAAGAATACAGAACATCCCTTGCCCCAGATCGAGAGTTCCTATCTATACCTTGTGGCTAATAGCCACTGATGGACTTCTGCTCCATATGCTTATCTAATTCCCCTCTTGAAGCTGTCCACACTTGTATTTATCCAGGTACTGGTCCCCAGTCTATTCTTAGAGAATGTGCAATGGTTCTTTCTTCCAGACAGATATACAGTCATTCTGCCATGGAAGCTTGCTGGGTGACGTTGGGCCAATCGCACACCCACTCAGCTTAACCTACCTCCTAGGGCTGTTGTGAGGATAAAATAGAGGAGGGAAGAATGATGCAAACGGGCTTTGGATCCCCATCGGAGAGAAAGGTGGAGGTCCGATAGATAAGTACACGTATTCACTGTAATGTGTGAACAGGGCTACGGGGACCAACTATTCCAGTTTCCCCCATTCCATGCTACATTTTCATTGGAGATTTTCCAGCTCCCCCCCCTCCCCGCCTGGAGTTGGTACCTTGGTGTAGTAGCCAGGATAGAGCTTCTCTGTGACGGGCGCGATGTATTCTTGTAGGAACCGGAGCCACTCCTTCTCAAAGCCAATTTGATTCATGTGGATATCGACAGTCGGGACGTTCTCGTAGCCGCCAGCCAGTCTGGTGTCCTAGAACAGAGCAGGGACTTGGGAAATCAGTCAGGTGGGAAGGGCCCTGTAGAGGCATCCTGGCCCCAAAGGGTAGATCTATTCATCCGCTAGCGACCCATCAAAGGACACTGGAGCCACCTGCAACCAGATTCTGGAAAGTTGGCATACAGATGTCCTAAATAAATAAATTGATTCCCCTGTACATGCCCCGCCCTATGCAGCCCAAGCAGAAGGAGAAATCCTATTGGCGCAAAGAGCTCCAGCCATGTTTGCCGAAGGGCGTTCTGTTTTTTCACAGGCACTCCTCAACCAGGTAACTCCCCCAAAGTGAAAAGTGGCAGATTTGTAGAAAGAATCTGGAAGCTCAAATATTATGCCTGGGTATCGTTGGAGGGGCAAAGAGACAGTCGCAGATGTTAGAGGAGCCCCAGAGAAAACTGGGAGAAACAACCCCCCCCCCTCCAGCAGGCTTGGGGAAAGGAAAAGGTTCCCTTGCTCGAAAGCCAGTCGAGTCCGACTCTAGGGTTGCGGTGATCATCTCCGTTTCAAAGCCGAAGAGCCAGCGCTGTCCGAAGATGTTTCCGTGGTCATGTGGCCGGCATGACTAAACACCAAGGCGCACGGAGCGCTGTTACCTTCCCATCGAAGTGGTACCTATTTATCTACTTGCAATTTCTTGCTTTCGAACGGCTAGGTTGGCAGGAGCTGGAACTAGAGACGGGAGCTCACTCCGTCATGTGGCAACCCGGGTCTCGAACTGCTGAACTCCCGACCTTCCACAGCCTGCAGTTCAGCGTCTTAACCACTTGAGCCACCGCAGCCTTAAGAAAGAGCCTTAAGAAGCCACCCTGCCTTAAGAAATGTTGCCTCTAGAGACAGAAGGATGTTCTAGCATTGACCTTATCTATTTACATGTGAAGCTGCCTTATACTAAATCAGATCCTTGGTATATCCAAATCTGCCATGTCTACTCAGACTAGCAGCAGCTCTCCGGGGTCTCAGGCTGGAGGTCTTTCACATCACCTGCTTCCTGATCCTTTCACCTGGAGATGCCGGGGGCTGAACCTGGGACCTTCTGCATGCCAAGCAGAGGCTTTGCCACTGGGACACACCCCCTTGCTTGCTTTCTAGCCCACCTTTCTCACTGGGGATCAAGGCGGATTATTACAAAATATAAAAACGATTGAATCAAACCGCAAAGACTCCCAAGAAACAATGCAGCAGGACAATGGAAGTGGAAAACAATGCAAACGGAAAAGTGGGTTATAAGGGTAGAAGACGATGCAGTAAAAGGAAGTAAAAGGTAAAGGTTCCCTTGCTCGAAAGCCAGTCGAATCCGACTCTAGGGTTGCGGTGCTCATCTCCGTTTCAAAGCCGAAGAGCCAGCGCTGTCCGAAGACGTTTCCATGGTCATGTGGCCGGCATGATTAAACACCAAGGCACACGGAACGCTGTTACCTTCCCACCGAAGTGGTACCTATTTATCTACTTGCAATTTCTTGCTTTCAAACTGCTAGGTTGTCAGGAGCTGGAACTAGAGACGGGAACTCACTCCGTCTTGCGGCACCCGGGTCTTGAACTGCTGAAATACTGACCTTCCACAGCCTGCAGTTCAGCATCTTAACCACTTGAGCCACCGCAGCTCCATAGTAAAAGGAAGACTTTGCAGTAAAAGGAAGATGATGGACCAGGGGTCTGATTCCGAATAAGGCAGATTCATGTGATCAAGGGGATATGTGGGCTCAGTGGTGGAGCATCCACTCGGCATGCAGAAGGTCCCAGGTTCAATTCCCCAGCATCCTCCAGTTAAAAAGACCAGGTAGTACATACTGGGAAAGGCCTCTGCCTGAACGACCCTCGAGAGCACCTGGCAGTCTGAGCAGACAGTACTGACCGTGATGGACTCATGATCTGAGCCAGTCTCATACAGCTTCGTGTGTTTATTCAATTAGCCACAGGCTACAGCCCCGTATCGCGCTCACCTCGTGCTTCCCCCCCTGACCACTGGCCAAAGTTTTCGGCCTCTTCCACCAGCTCATCACACATCCTCCAGTTAAAAAGACCAGGTAGTACATAGTGGGAAAGGCCTCTGCCTGAACGACCCTCGAGAACACCTGGTGGTCTGAGCAGACAGTACTGACCGTGATGGACTCATGATCTGAGCCAGTCTCATACAGCTTCGTGTGTTTATTCAATCAGCCACAGGCTACAGCCCCGTATCGCGCTCACCTCGTGCTTCCCCCCCGACCACTGGCCAAAGTTTTCAGCCTCTTCCACCAGCTCATCACACATCTGGTCGGTGAACACTGGGAACCAGTAAACGTCAGGGCACGGCTGCAGTGGGAAGAAGGGATGGGAATGGGGTAACAAGGTCACAAAGGATCAAGAGAGAAGAAGAAGAAGAAGAAGAGTTGGTTTAAAACCCCGCTGCTCACTACCCGAAGGAGTCTTGGAGCACCTTACAATCTCCTTCCTTTCCTCTCCTCACAACAGACACCCTGTCAGGTAGGTGGGGCTGAGAGAGCTCTGAGAGAGCGCTGTGACTGACCCAAGGTCACCCAGCTGGCTGCATGTGGAGAAGGAGTGGGGAATCAAACCTGGCTCTCCAGATTAGAGTCTGCCGCTCTTAACTACTACACCAAGCTGGCTCTTGAGAGAGAGAGAGCTGCATCGCACAAAGAACTAGCCTTCCTAACTGTCAGCTAGCTGCCGTATTTCATCTGTATGTGTCCTTTCCTGACTGTGGCGCTACGGCTCTATCCCTGTAGATCATGGCAACGGACCTGTAATCCAGGGCTTTTTTGGTAGAAAAAGCCCAGCAGGAACTCATTAGCATAACAGGCCACACCCAACAGCAGAAACTCATTAGCATATTAGGCCACGCCCCTGACCGCACAGCACATTAGCATATTAGGCCACACCCCCATGCCTTCTCCCTTGGCTTGCCTGGGCGCCTCACGGCTTCAGGGAGCCCAGGCAAGCTGGCCCTTGGACAGGCCAGGGAAGGCATTAAATGCCTCCCCGATCCTTCCAGGCCGCCCCCCCTGGCTCCCGGGCTCGCTTGCTTTGGGGTGGGGGGGGGGGGGGGTTTGCTCTCCAGGCCTTCCCTCTGTAGGCACGCATGCAGAGGTTTTGGCTGTAGTGGGCGTGGCCAACCCTGAAGCCAGCCGGAACTCCGTTCCTGTGCGTTCCTGCCCAAAATCAGCCCTGCTGTAATCTAATAAAGCATAACATTTCCCCCGAATCGTGCGTGGAGATTTACTTGCTGTTGAACCTGACACTAGCCTCCAGGTGGGGCCTGGAGATCTCCCAGAATTCCAGCTGCTCTCCAGACGACAGAGACCAGTTCCCCTGGAGAACAGGGCTGCTTTGGAGGGCGGACTCTGCGGCATGATTTCCCACTGAGGCCCCTCCCCTCCCCAAAACCTCCCTCCCAAGTCTCCAGGAATCGTCCAACCCGAAACCGGCAGCCAGTGTCCTCACCTGCATGTGGCTTTCCCCCTCCAGCACTTGTGAGTAATTCTCATGGATGTATTTCTCCTGCCAGTCCTGAGGCAACCCAGGGAAGAAAGAAAGAAGGCCAGAGTTTTTTTAAAAAGCTGTCACAGAGCATCCATCGTACAATCCCTAGTCCTCACGGCACCAAAAAAACATTTAAAGGTTGTAAAAAAACACACACACGTAGGCCTGAGATTCTGGATCCGGAGAGGGTGGGGAGGACAGACATTTCCCACCTCGTTCGTACCTCTCCACGGAATTGTCAAGTCTGAAGACGCCAGATGCCTGCAGACTTAGCAGATTCTCCGTGGGTGGTGCACGAAGGAGAATGGGGTTGCTGAGCAGAAACAGTGTTTGACGACTGAGGGGTCAAGGGATCAGGATATGGTCCTGTCAGGGCAGGGGCTTCGGGTGTGCCCGTGTGTTTCTGGGAGGGTAGGGCCCCCCCACTTCCCTCCCCTACTGCTCCTGTCTGGTTCTGCCCCCACCAAACTGAACTTCAGCCTGTCTTGTTTACCCATGGTTTGGCCACCAGGAAAGGCTCTCTGTGCACGGGCAGAGACCTTCAATTCCCACCCACTCCCCTCTATTGGTGTGTGAGCAAGCAGCTAAGCGCACGGGGGTGTCTAGCCCGCTACTCACCAGGGGGTTCTCCATGATCTGCCAGAGGTCCGGATGCAGACGGGATGTGTTGAAGCTGGCGGTGGAAAGGAGACGCCCGAACTCGTCCCGGTTGCTGATGTGAAGGAAGATACCCTGAAGACGAAGAGATGGGGAGTGAGAGAAGACTGGGAAAAATAGTAGAAACGCACCACAGCCCAGAATTCTATAATGGAAGGAACAGTCAACATTGGATTTATTTATTTTTTTAAAAAAGGTTTCTTGTCCTTACTATTGTAAAAATAGGTTCGGAGGGAGGGAGGAAGACCAGGACACATTTCCAAAGGGGGCTGGGGTTACTTGACCCTCCCGATGCCTAGAAGCAGGGGGTCCCCGGCCTTTCTCGGGCCTGTGGGCAGCTCTGGAGTTTTCACACAGTGGCTGCGATCACACACGCACCAAATAATCCACTTTCAATCCATCTTCCGTGCACTTTCCGACTGGATTTTACGGTGTGAATGAGCAAAATCCAGTTGGAAAGTGCACGGAAAGTGGTTTATTTAGCGTGTGTGATCGCAGCTAGTGGGGGCGGGGGTGGCCACAAAATGGCCGCGGCCGCTTCCCTTCAGTCACACATCATGAAGGTGGCAGCTGCCGCCATGGCAACTGTAACGTATTCAATAGCTGCCATTGAATGCATGATGTATGTGAAACATCTAATTGACTTGCCATGTTGAGCTTCGTCCTGGGCTAGGATCCAAATCCATCCAATCGCACTGCTAGCCCAGGAAGCACCTAGCCAGGAACGTCCGTGATTGGTCCTTATATGAACAACCGTATTGGTTGGTATTTGTACAGTGGGTGTGGCTACATTAGCCAGGAATGTTTAAAAGCAGGACAGCTGCAATGTAAAAGCTGAACTGTTCTGTTCTGGCTATCAGATGTTGATCCATGTTGGAGTTGAAGAATAAAGTTGTGGTCTTGCTGAATCACTCTCCGACTTCTTTGTTAAGCGAGCAACTTAACAGCAACATTTCTGAAAACCTGCACAGCCAATCAGATGGCCAGGGGCCAATCGGAAGCCTGGCCCTGTCCGGCAAGCCCGGTCTCGTCAGATCTCAGAAGCTAAGCAGGGCTGACTCCAGCAAGTATTTGGATGGGAGGCCTCCAAAGAATACCAGGGCCGGGAGGCAGAGGCAGGCGAACAAGCCACTTCTTTGAACAGCCTCCATGCCCCAATAGGAGTCGCCAGAGGTTACCATGACTTCCGGACACGGGCGCACATACACACACACACCCAAAAAATAATGCCAATTAAAATAGAGAAGAAGCCTTGCTGGTCAAAAGGCCCACCCAGCATGGCCCACTTTCTAACAACGCTTGAGGGGTGCCCGGAAATGTGCCAGCTGGTGCCATGGCACCACATGGGGGACCCCTGGCCTAGAAGGCCAAATGATGCCAATAGGGGCCCAGGGTTCAACCATGACTCCGTCTACCAAAGCGGCAGCGCTGAGTTCTTTTTAAGTGCAGGGTTCATACAGGCCTGGGTTGAGACAGGCCTCCCGCGGACACAGCTCCTCACCTTTTCCCGCACACTCTTGCAGAAAGCCATATCCGGGTCCATGTCGTCCAAAGTGAAGACGTGCTGCTGGACCAGCTCGCTGCGTAACGTCTCCCCCCTCAGCAAGTAAGCCTGGGAGATGTAAGGGACGTTCCACACACCTCTGAAGGGCAGGAAAGGGACAAGAGGCGGGGTCAGTCCCAGGAACATCGGCTGCCTCAGTACACGTACATATCATCACACGGGAAGCTGCCTTATACTGAAAGCAGACCACTGGTCCATCCAGGTTAGTATTGTCTACTCAGACAGGCAGAAGCTCTCTTTCTCATAACCTATTGCCTGGTCATTTTAACTGGAGGTGCCGGGGATTGAACCTGGGACCTTCTGTGTGCGCAGAAGAGACTCTTCTACTGAGCCACAGCCTCTTCTTAAGCACTGAAGTGTCAACTGAGAAGACATTCAGGCAGGGGTCATTTCCTGCGGGAGCGCACAGGAGCGGAGCTCCGGCAGTAAGGAGCCTGGGGGCGGGCACATGCAACAAGCCCCGCCCCCTGCTCCCAGCAGCCCTCAGTCGGGCCACGAGGAGCAAGAAGCAGCCAGGTAAGTTGCAGAGCCCCCCCCCCCCCCGGCTCGCCTTCGGGTACAAGCTCTCCCTCCTCTGTGAGGGCAGATCTGCGCGTTCCCCCCCCCCCCAATAGCTAGCAATCCAAAACAGTCCAGTGAAGCCTGAGCGGTGGGTGTTGCCTTCTGACACACTTCCAGTGATGTCAGGGGGCGTGGCATATGCAAATAAGTTATGCTAATGAGTTGTGCTAATGAGCTCCTGCACCTCTTTTTCTATGAAATGACCCCTGCATTCAGGTCCTGGATAGCCAGTTTAGCATAGCCGTTTGAGTATCAAGTCAGATAAGAGTCTAGGAGACAGTCAGCGTGGTGTAGTGATTACAGCGTCCGACTAGGATCAGAGAGACCCAGGTTCGAATCCCCACTCTGCCCCGGAGGCTTGCTAGTTGACCTTGGGCCAGTCGCGGCCCCTCTGCCCAGCCTACCCCACAGGACTGTTGTGAGCAAAGAACGAAGGAGAGGAATAATTCTGTAAGCCACCTTGAGTCCCCACTGAGGAGAAAGGTGGGAGATAAATAAAGCAAGTAATTGAATGAGACCCGGGTTCAAAAGCTCGGTCACTGCAGACTCACATCCTCTTGCCCTGCACCAGTTCCACGTAGTCCTCCGAGCGGGCGTAGTATCCTTCGGGGCTCAGGGCCCCCCAGAAATTGGACCAGAGCTTTCCATGCCGGGACATCATGGGAGCGATCACCTTCCTGGGGGGGGGAGGAAGCAAAAGGGAAGTCACTAAGGGGGGAGAGAAAGATGAGCCAGGGGGTGGGGCAGGCCCTTAAAACAGCCCAGAAGAGATAATAAGGTGACAGGTTGGACGGAAGCTTATTATGTTCATTAGGTTTAAAAACTTTTGTTATCGTTCGGATCTTTGCTGTTTATCTTGATAATAGAATATTATTTGGAAGGGGGGGTAGGGTTGCCAGGTCCGTCTTCCGCCCCCAGCAGGGGACTTTGGGGGTGTTCCTGGAGGGGGCAGGGCATCCCCGACGTGATGACGTCACGTTGGGGATGTCCACCGCCCCCCCACGCCCAATCTCCAGAAACGCCAGTTCCCTGCACTTAAAGGAGCCGGCGTTTCCTGTTTAAGTGCACGGAGCCAGCGTTTTCCCTTTAAGAGCAAAGAGCTGGCATTTCCCTTTTAAGTGCACGGAGCTGGCATTTCCCTGCAAGCCTGATCTCAAGTGGAGATCGGGCTTGGGAGGAAACGTGGGCTTGAAGGGAGAGGGGTGACTATGGGTGTTGGGTGCGGGGCTTCCCCGCCAGCCATCTGGCCGGCGGCAGGTAGAACCCCCCTCAAAACGGGGGACCCCTGGCAAACCGGGGGGGTTGGCAACCCTGGGGGGGGGGGAAACCAGCCCAGAAGTGAGGCCAGCTGAGTGACCCCCACAGGGAACGGCCCTTTCATTTAATCTGCCCACTAAGCCATCCTGTGCCCCTTGCAACGGTCAGCAGGCTGGGTCAAAAGGCAAGTAGCCACTGCAGTGCTGCCAGGGCTCGGCTCATTCATGGCCAGCAGCCGCCGCCCAGGGAATGTTCCTGGTAAGATAAAGGGCTGGGCCAGTCCTGGCTGCATGTGGTTTCACGGGGTCAGGCTCTCACTTGTTATCCTGGATGAGAATCTGCAGGATCTCGGGGTTCACCACGACCACGTCGGCATCCAGGCTGAAGTAATAGCCACAGGCAAGGTCCTGGCGGCAGAGGTCCCTGTTCCAAAGGAGATCTTGTTAGACCCAGCCCAAGAGTTGCCAGGCAGTGACTGGCAGGAGGGTTGAGGGGTGGTAGTAGCATCCTTGGAGAAAAATTAAACCGAAAAATAAGATCTCATCTACTCACAGAAAGTTCTGCCCATAGAGTTCCTGGTGATTCCTAGAGCTACTCCCGTCACTTCTGGGTAGCTCTAGGGATTGCCAGGAACTCCGTGGTCAGAACTTCCTGTTAAGTCAATGAGGCCTTAGTTTCATTTTGAATTTTTCTCCGTAGGGAACATGGCGGCCCCTTGTTGGGCCCCAGTTTTTGCCCGTCGATTGGGTGAGCATCGGCAAGCGAGGGCAGCAACCAGGGGGGTTTTTTGTAGAAAAAGCCCATCAGGAACTCATTAGCACAATAGGTCACACCCAACAGCAGAAACTCATTCGCATATTAGGCCACACCCCTGACAACAAATCTCATTAGCATATTAGGCCACACCCCCATGTTATCAGAAGTGTGCTCACCCAGCCACACCCACCTTTTGCTTCTTATTCTGTTTGCTTTGCTGTCAAAACCCAGGGCTTTTTTTGTAGCAGGAACTCCTTTGCATGTTAGGCCACACACCCCTAACGTAGCCAATCCTAATGAGTTTCTGCTGTTGGGTGTGGCCTATTATGCTAATGAGCTCCTGCTGGGCGCGGCCAACTCAGGAGCCAGCCGGAACTCCGTTCCTGTGCGTTCCTGCCCAAAAATAGCACTGGCGGCAACTACCGGGAGGTCTCCTGCCATAGCTGGACAAATGGGAACCCAACCCAGCCTCCCTCCCATGTGTTCAAGCATTATCCCATCCCTCCAGGGTGTCTTTCCCACTATTCCCGTTGTTTCCCGCTATTGCTCTCCCTTCCCTTGGATACTTACATGGCCATATCTCTGGCCTCGCCCTCACTCATTTCCTCCTCTGGACCCACGAGCTTGATGCTGTCGAAGGCCCCCTGAAGGTGCTCCCACTCGGCCTGGATGTGCTGCTCGTGATACACCTCCTGGGGAAAAGGGTGACCCGTCACGCTCGAAGCTGCCTGATCCCGAATCAGAGCCTCAGTCCACCGAGGTCAGGATCGTCTACTCAGACCGGCAGCTGCTCACCAGGGTCTCAGGCGGAGGCCCTTCACATTACTTACTGCCCGGTCCTTTTAACTGGAGAGGGCGGGGACAGAACCCGGGACCGTCTGCACGCCAAGCAGAGGCTGCTCCACTCATAAGAACATACGAGACGCCAGTGTTGGATCAGGCCAAAGGCCCATCCAGTCCAACACTCTGTGTCACACAGTGGCCAGAAATACCAGTGCCCTCAGGAGGTCCACCGGTGGGGCCAGGACATTAGAAGCCCTCCCACTGTTGACCCCCCCCCAAGCACAAAGAAGACAGAGCATCACTTGCCCCAGAGTCCCTATCTATACCTTGTGGCTAATAGCCACCGATGGACCTCTGCTCCATATGCTTATCTAGTCCCCTTTTAAAGTCATCCATGCTTGTAGCTGCCACCACTTCCTGTGGCAGTGAATTCCATGCGTTAATCACTCTTTGGGTGAAGAAGTACTTCCTTTTATCCGTTCTAACCCGACCGCTCAGCAATTTCATGGAGTGCCCACGAGTTCTTGTATTGTGAGAAAGGGAGAAAAGTACCTCTTTCTCTACCTGCTCTTTCCCATGCATAATCTTATACACCTCAATCATGTCACCCCTCAGTCGTCATTTCTCCAAGCTAAAGAGCCCTCAGCGCCTTAACCTTTCCTCATAGGGAAAGTGTTCCAACCCTTTTATCATTCAAGTTGCCCTTTTCTGCACTTTTTCCAAAGCCATAATATCCTTTTTAAGGTGTGGTGACCAGAACGGCACACAGTATTCCAAATGAGGTCGCACCACTGATTTATATAGGGGCATTATGATATTGCCTGATCTGTTTTCAATACCCTTCCTAATACTCCCCAGCATCGCATTGGCCTTCTTTACTGCAGTCACACACTGTCTCGACATTTTCAGTGAGTTATCTACTCAGCCCCTCTCTGAAGAAGTTGTCTTACACGGAATCAGATCATGAGTCCTTATAGTCTACTCAGACTGGCAGTAGCTATCCAGAGATCTCGGGGAGAGTGTTATTCAGTATCAACTCTTTCCAGATCCTTTTTACTTGGCGGGGGATTGAACCTGGGGCCTGTATGCCAAGCAGATGCTCTTCCACTGAGCCACCATCCCTCCCTTGGCAGGGGGAAAAAACACACCCTGGATTGCCAGATTCCACCAATACAGGACAGGGGCAGTGTTCCCTCTAAGCTGAGTTAGTGTGAGCTGGCTCACAGTTTTTTAGCCTCCAGCTCACACACTTTTGCCTTAGCTCAGGAAGGGACGGCTCCAGAGCAATCTAATTTATGCAGCAGCCAAACGGCTCACTCACAACTTTAATGCCAGTAGCTCACAGAGTAGAATTTTTGCTCACAAGACTCCGCAGCTTGGAGGGAACATTGGACAGGGGCACTGTGCCTTTAACGCAGGGTTACATGAACACACGGAGCTGCCGTATACTGAATCAGACCACTGGCCCTGCCCCGACCCGGATGGCCCAGGGAAGCCCGATCTCATCAGATCTCGGAAGCGAAACGGGGGCAGTCTCAGCTAGTCTTCGGAAGGGCAACCTCCAAGGAATACCAGGGTCATGACTCAGGGGCAAGCAATGGCAAACCACCCCTGAAAGGTCTCTTGCCTTAAAAAAAGTCTACCTCGCCACCTAGTGGTGCATAACGCTAAAAGAGCTAGAACGTCTGGCTGCCAGACAATCTGAGGATCTCCCGGCTACACTACACACACACTGCCATAAGACAACAACAACAACAACAACAACAACAACAATAATAATAATAACAATAACAGTAATAACAACAACAACTATTATTATTATTATTATTATTATTATTATTAAACCATTGGTCCATCACAGTCAGTCTTGTCCACTCATACTGGCAGTGGCTCTCCACGGTCTCATGCAGAGGTCTTTCACATCACCTCCTACCCGATCCACTCAACTGGAGATGCCAAGGACTGAATCTGAGAAAGAGCAAATCCCAAGCCGACTGTGTCTGAGTCCTTACTGAGCGTGCTAATTGTCTGTGCGTTGGTGCGTGTCTGGGAGAGATCCCCAAAGGCATCTTGCTTTTACAGAGGGGCATGTCTGGATCAGGGCCACCAACTCCAGCCACTTCAAAGTAGCAAAAACACCACCACCACACAAAAATCTTGATGCCCACCTCTGGTCACAACCAGGGCAAAATTCTGTATTCCCAGAGTTGCAAAAAGGCCGGCGTGTTGTAGTGGTTTAAGAGAGGAAGGAGAGAAGGGAAGGGAAGGGAAGGGAAGGGAAGAAGAGATTGTATTTATACCCCGCCCTTCACTACCCAAAGGTGGCTCAGAGCGGCTCACAAACTCCTTTCCCTTCCCCTCCCCACAACAGACATCCTGTGAGGTGGGTGGGGCTGAGAGAACTCTTGACAGAAACGGCTCTTTTTTTCAAGAACAGCTCTGACAGAGCTACGGCTTGCCCAAGGTCATCCAGCCAGGTGCGAGTGGAGGAGTGGGGAATCAAACCCGGTTCTCCCAGATCAGAGTCCGCACACTTAACCACGACACCAAACTGGCTCCCATGAGGTGAGCGGAAGGGCCAGCGGCAGGGGAGCCAGGGCAGAAGCTGGGAAACCAAATTTGGAGCTACTGCAAAAAACAAACAAACCCCACATTTAAGTTTCAGCAGGAGCATTCCGGGCAGGGGAGGCAGGGCCCCTCACTCACCCGGTTGTGGATGAAGAGGCTGAGGCGAGAGTAAGGGTAATCAAAGGTCAGGAGACGCTGAAGGAACTCAGGCAGGAAGGGAGTCGGCTGCTCGATGAACACGCCAATGAGCACGTGGGGATAGGAGTCGTCCTGCAAAGGAAGAAGAGAGAAGAAGAGATTGGATTTATACCCTGCCCTTCACTACCCAGAGGAGTCTCAGAGTGGCTTACAAACTCCTTTCCCTTCCCCTCCCCACAACAGACACCCTGTGAGGTAGGCGGGGCTGAGAGAGCTCTGGCAGAAACTGCTCTTTTTCAAGGACAGCTCTTGTCAGAACTACGGCTTGCCCAAGGTCATCCAGCCAGGTGCAAGTGGGGGAGTGGGGAATCAAACCCGGTTCTCCCAGATTAGAGTCCGCACACTTAACCACGACACCAGCGAAGGATGAATGACGCACCCCCAACAGCCTCCCTGTGGGGAACCCCAAAGGGCTATCCAGGACGGCACACGCCTCTCCTTTAAATCTCCCCACACCTCCAGCCCTACAACGAAGGCTTGGTCTAAAAGCCCAGCAGGAACTCATTAGCATAATAGGCCACGCCCAACAATATGCTAATTAGTTACTATTGTTAGGCCACGCCCAACAATAGTAACTAATTAGCATAATAGGCCACACCCTGACAGCACAACTTATTGGCATATTAGGCCACACCCCCATGCCTCCCCTTGGCTTGCCTGGGAGCCCGGGCAAGCCGACCCTTGGACAGGCTGGGGAAGGCACGGGGAGGCACCGGGGGGGGGGGGGTCCACTCTCCTGGCCTTCCCCTCTGTAGGCATGCATGCAGAGGTTTTGGCTGTAGTGGGCGTGGTCAACTCTGAAGCCAGCCGGAACTCCGTTCCTGTGCGTTCCTGCCCAAAAATAGCCCTGGGTTTAGTTATTTATTGGCATTTATTGTCCATCTTCCTCACTGGGACACCTGAAGCTGCCTTATACTGAATTGGACCACCCGTCCCTCGAGGTCAGTCTTGTCTACTCAGACTGGCAGCGGCTCTCCGGGGCCGAGGTCTTTCACATCATCTCCTACCTGATGCCTTAACTGGAGGCAGCAGGGATTGAACCTGGGACCTTCTGCATACTGAGCAGATGCTCTGCTACTGAGCCAGGGCCCCACCCCGCTCTCAACCTGGATTGCAAGTATGATAGAACTATCCAGTCAACCAGTCATCCGATTATAAAACATGCTAACGTTTGAATGATAATATTTGGTTCTAAGGGCAAAGATTCCTAGTGAAACGACTAATCCACTCCACTCCACCACCTCGGCGCTCTGCCCCACTGTGTTACCGCCACATTTTGCTGCAAATGCCAACGAGGCCTCTTTAAATTCTTCGTCGCCCACCAACTCACCGCCAAGCTTGACAGGTCCAGGAGTCCTTGGTCACACACTTCACAACCCCCCTCGTATGTCCAGACATTGGGGATGTAATTCCCCAGGTAGTTCAGCTGCAGCTGTAGAGTAGACAGTGGACAGTGGACAGTGGACTAGAAACACATTTCTCAAAAAAACAGAATATTTAACTTGGAACTCAGAATGGAAGGGTTAAATGTTTTGCTACTATGTTACAAGTCCATCAGATGCAGGGGAAAGGAATCTTTATTCCATTAAGTATTTCCCTTTGGCAGCACAGTAGCAGACCGGCTGCACAGTAACAGACCGGCAGCACAGTAAAAGACCGGCAGCAAAGACACCAGGGAGAAAATACAAGTATATATTTCACCAGCGTCGCCCTATTTATTTGCAACATTTATATCCCCTCCTTCTGCCCTCAACAAGGGCCGACAAGGTGGCTAACAAATTTAAAACATACATAATAAAATCACCTACATTTTGTGTATTTCACACTAAACATGCAGTTGGGGCAAAAATGACCCCAGTGCTCTCAGTGTAAACACTGTATTTTACAAGTGGCAAGCAGAACATGGAACACTACAGTGCAATTAACCTCATTAATACTGAGGAATACACATAGCGTGGAATTGTAATAAACTGGGGGGGGGGGAGTTTATCAGCGTTTTCCCCTAGTTTTCAGAGATGATATGAGCCCATTTAGGTAAGTTAAAAACTTAATATATTTCTTCAGCGGAGGACGTGGAAAACTGGGAGGGGAGTGCTTATTCGAACAGAGACTCCCTCTCCTACCACTAAAACAAAGTTGTTACCTTGGTAGGGCCATTGCCATGGATGACAACAGGTAGGGTGTCGTAGGCGACATTTCGGGCACGCACCCGGATCGGTTCGAACTTCAGAACGACTTCCTCTGTGAGGAGAAGAAGAGGATATGGGGTGCAAAGCTGGATCCAATGCATTTGTTCCCTCTGCTCAGGTGGGAAATAGAAACTTTGCTTCCCAGGACGTTCCCGTAAGCCCCTTCCGACTACTGGTGGGTACCAACTTATGGTTTTCCAGGTGGGTACCAACCGTAAGGTTTTCCAGGCAAGACACAAACAGAGGTGGTTTGCCAGTGCCTGGCTCTGCGTAACAACCCTGGACTTCCTCAGTGGTCTCCCATCCCAAGTTCTAACCAGAGCCAACTTTGCTTAGCTTCCACGATCGGATGAAATCGGGTCGCCAACCAGGTCCCTTCTGGATTTGCAATTTTATTCAAGGGGTGTCAGTTAAATAACCTGCAGCACAACTGTGTTTCAATCAGAGTCCGAAAACTGTAAACATGCAAATAGGGGAGGCAGCAAAACAACGATTGGCCGCTGGCTGATGCTGTCACAATGACTCTTGATATGATTAAGAGAGATCCTTTTCCCTTGAAGCTGCTCCTGGGGGGGGGGTGTTGCAATTTGGTGGAGGCCGCATTCCATGTGAAAGCTCCGCCAAGCTATTCTGCTTTCCCCTCCTACTCAGCCCGGCTATGCTGGTGAAGACGTTCAGGAGGAGCAGGTTGGTAGACTAACATGCCTCCTTGCAAAGAGGGTTGGAATCCAAGTCTTATGAGGAAAGGCTGAAAGAGTCGGGGATGTTTAGCCTGGGAAAGGGAAGGCTTAGAGGGGACAGGATTGCAGTCTTCAAGTATTTGAAGGGCTGTCATGTAGAAGATGGAGCAGATCTATTCTCTCTTGCTCCGGATTGCAAGACTAGGTCTAATGGGTGGAAATTATAAGGGAGTCGTTACCAGCTAAATATCAGGAGAAACTCCCTAAATGTCAGAGTGGTTGAGCAATGAACAGTCTGCCTCAGGAGGTGGTGGAGGCTCCGTCGCTGGACGTTTTCAAGTGGAGGCTGGATGACCATCTTTCGGGTATGTTGTAGGTATGTAGGGCTATCTTTTGGCTATGCTCCTGCAGAGTGCAGGGGGTTGGACTAGATGACCTGCAAGGTCCCTTCCAACTGTAACATTCTATGATTCTATGATTCTAAAGGTAAAGGTCTCCCTTCCTCGAAAGCCAGTCGAATCTGACTCTAGGGTTGCGGTGCTCATCTCCGTTTCAAGGCCGAAGATCCAGCGCTGTCCGAAGACATTTCCGTGGTCATGTGGCCGGCATGACTAAACACCAAGGCGCACGGAACGCTGTTACCTTCCCACCGAAGTGGCACCTATTTATCTACTTGCAATTTCTTGCTTTCGAACTGCTAGGTTGGCAGGAGCTGGAACTAGAGACGGGAGCTCACTCCGTCATGCGGCACACTCGGGTCTCGAACTGCTGAACTACCGACCTTCCACAGCCTGCAGTTCAGCGTCTTGACCACTTGAGCCACCGCAGCTCCTTCTATGATTCTATCTAGAACCTTATCATGGGAAGCACTGACCACTCACCAATGGCGCCATTCAGGTTCTGAAAGATTTTTGACTTGTGATCCAGGGTGATCCCATATTTCTCCTACAGAGATAGAGGAGCAAAGAGCAGAGATTAGGAACACGCAGGGCTATTTTGGGGCAGGAACGCACAGGAACGGAGTTCCGGCTGGCTCCCAAGTTGGCCACGCCCAGCAGGAACTCATTAGCATAATAGGCCACACCCAACAGCAGAAACTCTAGGATTGGCTACATTAGGGGGGTGTGGCCTAACATGCAAAGGAGTTCCTGCTACAAAAAAGCCCTGGGTTTGGACAACAAACAAGGTGAACAGAATAACAAGCAAAAGGTGGGTGTGGCTGGATGAGCACACTTCTGGTAACATAGGGATGCGGCCTAACGTGATAATGAGCTGTGCTGTCAGGGGTGTGGCCCAATACGCTAATGAGTTCCTGCTGTTGGGTGTGGCCTATTATGCTAATCAGGGGTCTTGTTGTAGAAAAAGAGCTGCCGGAGCTCATTAGCATAACTCATTAGCATAACTTATTTGCATATGCCACGCCCCCTGACATCACCGGAAGTGACAGAAGGCCACACCCCCTGACATCACCGGAAGTGTGTCAGAAGGCCCGGCTACTTACCCTCCTGCTTCATCCTCATTCCCAAACGGAATGAGGATCGAAGCAGAGGGTGGGGTAAAGAAGGGGGCGGGGCTTCACCACGTGACCGCCCCGCCCCCTAGAGGTTCTCTTCCGGAGCTCCGTACCTGAGAGCTCCCCCCCCGACTAGAGCCCTGATGCTAATGAGTTCCTGCTGGGCTTTTTCTACAAAAAGAGCCCTGGGAACACGTGAAGTGTCCAAGTCAGACCACTGGCCCCTCTCCCTGTAACGTATTGCAGGGACTCAGGCAGAGAAACACCCAAGTCCCCGTAACGGGTATTCATTTACATCCCTCCTCTCTGTATAAGCATATCTGAGGAAAACTACAATCCGAAACAAGAAAACGTCAGGTAAAATTAGAAAATGGATATAATAAAACTATCCAGTTTAAATAGAACAAGGGTAATCTTTAAAAAGCCTCTAAAACTCAGTCACTACGAGGGCTGGATCTGACACGAATGTCACTTTGTCGGGCCGGGCCATGTGTGCCATACAATGTAATGCCAGGTACTGGAGATAGAAACTTTATCAAGGACACAGGCAAACCCAATTAACAATTTTTTTAAAAAACTCAAAATCAGGGCTATTTTTGGGCAGGAACGCACAGGAACGGAGTTCCGGCTGGCTCCTGAGTTGGCCAGGCCCAGCAGGAACTCATTAGCATAATAGGCCACACCCAACAGCAGGAACTCACTAGGACTGGCTACGTTAGGGGTGTGTGGCCTAACATGCAAAGGAGTTCCTGCAACAAAATAGCCCTGGGTTTTGACAACAAACAAGGTCAACAGAATAAGAAGCAAAAGGTGGGTGTGGCTGGATAACCACACTCCTGGTAACATAGGGGTGCGGCCTAATGTGCCAATGAGCTATGCTGTCAGGGGTGTGGCCTAATATGCTAATGCGTTTCTGCTATTGGGTGTGGCCTATTATGCTAATGAGTTCCTTCTGGGCTTTTTCTACAAAAAGAGCCCTGCAAAATACAAACAAAAGCAATTGATTCCTGGCAGTGAAAGCAACTGATTTCCTGGGGAGCTCACAAAAGCACCAATATATGTATTTAATCATATGCAAGACCAGGTTTCTTCCAATGGATACCATAAAAGGGGAAGTATATTATATTTCCATACACACCAGTTGCTTGCGGGCTGGGTAAGAGCCCTGGACGGGCCGGTTCTGGCCCCCGGGCCTTATGTTTGACACCCCTGCTCTAAAACTACAGCCTAAAAGTGATGATGATAATAATGGGATGGGGTAGCCAAAACCAACTGCAGGGAGTCTAAAAGGCTTGAAACGATTTTTTTTTAAAGGCCCGGCACTTGAAAGCATACAGATTTGCCACTAGGCAAGTTTTCTGGGGAGGGAGCTCCAAAGCAATAGTGCCACCACTGAGAAGGCCCCGTCTCCGGGGGCTCACCCACCTTGCTTCAGAATATACAGATAGATAGAAGCAGGACCAATGTTCCCTCTAAGCTATGGAGTCTTGTGAGCAAAAATTCTACTTTGTGAGCTACTGGCATTAAAGTGGTGAGCAGGTGATTTGGCTGCTGCATAAATTGGTTTGCTCTGGAGCCCCATCCTGCCTGAGCGAAGCCAAAAATGTGTGAGCCAGAGGCTCAAAAACCGTGAACTAGCTCACAGTAACTCAGCTTAGAGGGAACATTGATTGCAGGACCTCTGGTGATGAGCTCCATTGGTGAGCAGGTTCACCTTCAGGCACCGGAGGTTTCAATGAGGCATCATGGCCCAGAGGTATCGATGGACCTTCCTTTGAGGAATTTGTGCAATCCCTTATCAAAAACTATCCCCCACCACCACCACCAAGGCTCTCTCTAAGCTGTGGAGTCCTGTGAGCAAAAATTCTACTTGGTGAGCTCCTGGCATTAAAGTTGTGAGCGAGCGATTTGGCTGCTGCATGAATTCGTTTGCTCTGGAGCCCTCCTTCCTGAGCGAAGACACAAATGTGTGAGCTGGAGGCTAAAAAGAATGTGAGCTAGCTCACACTAACCCAGCTTAGAGGGAACACTGCCCCCCCCCACCATTATGTCTGGTTTCCTTTCAAAGTCACTTTTTGCCCCCAGTACATCCTGTGGCAGTGAGTTCCACAGATCAATTGTGCTAAGACGTGCATCAGCCAGGTGTGTGAACTGGAGCATAGGCTGAGCAAGAGTCAGCAGCAACTCCCCGCCCCACCCCCCACTCTTACCCGCAAGGCAGGATCCAAGTAAATACGCGTGTAGAAGAGCTGGTCGTCGTCGTCATCCTTGTACTTCCATAGCTGGACAACGCGATTGATGACGGAAGCATAGCCAATGAATCCTGCCACGACAGAGGAGCAAGGGGTTGGTTTTCTATTTGGTCTTCATGCCCATTACCATTTTAATCAGGTAGCCAGTTTGGTGCAGTGGTTAAGAGTGGTGGACTCTAATCAGGAAACCTGGACTCAATTCCCCACTCCTCCACATGAAGCCTGCTGGGGTAGCCTTGGGCCAGTCACAGCTCCTTCAGAGCTCTCTCAGCCCCTAAAACCAAGCCTAGCTCACCACCTAAGAGCAAGGACTTGTGGCTGCCAGACAATCCCAGGATCACCTGGCTATTCTACACACAATGCCATAGGATAATAGTAATTATCAGGGGTCATTTCCTGCAGGAGCGCACAGGAGCGGAGCTCCGGCAGTAAAGAGCCCAGGGGGCGGGCACATGCAACAAGCCCCACCCCCTGCTCCCAGCAGCCCTCAGTCAGAGCAAGAAGCAGCCAGGTAAGTTGCAGAGCCCCCCCCAGCCCCCCGGATCCAAAACAGTCCAGTGGCACCTTTAAGACCAAGTTTTATTCAGGTACAAGCTCTCCCTCCTCTGTGAGGACAGATCTGCATGTCCTCCCCCCATAGCTAGCAATCCAAAACAGTCCAGTGGAGCCTGAGCGGTGGGTGTTGCCTTCTGACACACTTCCGGTGATGTCAGGGGGTGTTGCATATGCAAATGAGTTATGCTAAGGAGTTATGCTAATGAGCTCCTTCACCTCTTTTTCTACAAAATGACCCCTGGTAATTATTATTATAATTTTAATCTTAAAATCTAGAAACTTATTCTTGTCCTAAGGTAAGCAGAAATTCTCAGGACTCAAAACCCTACAGTAGCTTAGGACTCTCGAAAGCGTGTGCCCTGGAAATCATGCTGGTCTTTAAGGTGATACTGGACTTGAATCTCGCTTTTCTGCTGCAGCCCCACACCGTTACTAAGGTTGCCAACCTCCAGGTGGTAGCTGGAGATCTCCCGGGATTACAACTCCTCTCCAGACAACAGAGACAAGTTCCCCTGGAGAAGGTGGCCACTTTGGAAGGCTAACTCTATGGCACTGTACCCCATTGAAGAAGAAGAGGAGATTGGATTTATACCCCGCCCTTCACTACCCAAAGGAGTCTCAGAGCGGCTGACAAACTCCTTTCCCTTCCCCTCCCCACAACAGACACCCTGTGAGGTAGGTGGGGCTGAGAGAGCTCTCGACAGAAACTGCTCTTTTTCTAGAACAGCTGTTATCAGAACTACGGCTTGCCCAAGGTCATCCAGCCAGGTGCAAGTGGAGGAGTGGGGAACCAAACCCGGTTCTCCCAGATTAGCGTCCGCGCACTCAACCACTACACCAAACTGGCTCTCTTCCCTCCCCAAACCCCGCCCTCCTCAGGTTCCACCCCCAAATCTCCAGGTATTTCCCAACCCTAACGGCTACCCAGTTGAAATAGATCCTACAGCAGGCATCACCAAACGAAGGGAACAGCCGCCCCGCTTAAAAGTCACTGCCACAGGAAGTGGTGGCGGCTACAAGCATGGACGGCTTCAAAAGGGAATTAGATAAGCATATGGAGCAGGGATCCATCAGTGGCTATTAGCCACAAGGTATAGATAGGGACTCTGGGGCAAGTGATGCTCTGTCATCTTGGTGCTTGGGGAGGGGTCAACAGTGGGAGGGCTTCTAATGTCCTGGCCCCACTGGTGGACCTCCTGATGGCACCTGGTATTTATGGCCACTGTGAGACACAGAGTGTTGGACTGGATGGGCCTTTGGCCTGATCCAACATTGGCGTCTCTTATGTTCTTATGTTCACAGTGAACACACATACGATCCATGTACAATATAAACTTGATTTTTCTTTATGTGCGCATCAAGTAATTCTCATGTTACATTCAACGCTTGCACAGCTGAATGTGTGACTGAAACGACACATTTATCCCGGTGCTGGTCCCTGATTTCATTTTAAAGTGAATGCACATTGGCTATTTCGTACAAAAAGATGTACGCACATACAGGGAGGACATCGGTGTGTGCACAGTAACATGTCAACAGGGCTATTCCTGACATGGATTCGTTCATACCCTGTTAAGGATACAGTTACACTCATGGCCCACTGGAACTTGAAAGCTCACCCCCTCCATAATTCAGCCCTAGGAAGACATTGACTGATGTACCTAGTTTTTTCCCCCCCACAACGGGAACCCAAAGAGGTTAAAACATCATTTCCCTTCATCTCCTTTTATCTTCACAACAACAGCCCTATTAGGTAGGTTAGGCAGAGAGAGATTGACTAGGCCAAGGTTACCCAACCAGCTGCCATGGCAAAGTGGGAATTCGAACCTGGGGCTTCCAGATCTGAATCTGGCATTCTAACCACAACACCACGCCAGTTCTCACATACATCTTTATTTGGACTGCACTCTTAGTTCGCAGGTTTATTCTTGGCACAACTGACAGATACCCCGTAACAATTCCTTGTTTTAAGAGTGTGTGTGTCTCTTTAAATGTTGGGTTGCAGGGCAGTGAATGCAGAGTAGATTAATTGAGAGAGAGAAGTGTGCTGTGATTGGAGGATGAGAGAGTGTGGGAGGAGTTTTTGAAGTGGATCTGTGTGAGTGTCAGTCAAGTTATGAAAGTATGAAAGTCAGAGTTAGAGGAGACGGGAAAAAAACCAGTTGATGTTGTTCAGTGGAAATTCAGTCAGTGAGAGAGCTGAAAGAATCTGTGTGGGATCCGAGAAGGATCAGTATATGCGTATTAAAGTGATACAGTTGACAAGCTCATTTACAGGAACAGGGCTATTTTTGGGCAGGAACGCACAGGAACGGAGTTCCGGCTGGCTCCCGAGTTGGCCACGCCCAGCAGGAACTCATTCGCATAATAGGCCACACCCAACAGCAGAAACGCATTAGAATTGACTACATTAGGGGTGTGTGGCCTAACATGCAAAGGAGTTCCTGCCACAAAAAAAGCCCTGGGTTTTGACCACAAACAAGGTCAACGGAATAATAATACCTTCCGATTTATTGATCGCTCATCCTGCAGAGCTGCTGGCTCTGAGCGATTTACAGTTACTCAAGTTTTCACACGGGACTAACAATGATTCATAGGGGTAAGGGAGGACAACATATAATTCTTTAAATCGCACACATTTGCAGCCGACGGGGATTTTGTTCAGCTGTAAGCTTCAACCGTGTTCCAGACGGCATTCACTTTCGGCTTTGTCGGTAGGATGCATTTCCAGGACTGCTTTGAGTCTTAGTGCCGCACTGCCATCGCCTGGCTGGATTGGCCCATCACAGGCTTCTTAATGCCGAAGAGGTCTTTTTTCCAGGCTTCCGAGCTTACGAGCTGGACCTTCCATTCGCCGGCTAACACCTCCCCCATGGGGATTTTTGGTATGCCCACGCTCTCTAAGGAGTGGTACCCATTTTATCTACTCGCCGAAGCTTTCGAACCGCTGGGTGGACAGCGAGCTGGAGACAAGGCTGGTAGCTCACACCAGTGCGGGGCTCGAACTGACAGCAGTCCTGATCAGTTCAGATGTTAACCAGAGGAATAAACCCTCTGTGCCAACGCAAAAGGTGGGCGTGGCTGGATTACCACACTTCTGGTAACATGGGTGTGTGGCCTATTATGCTAATGAGCTGTGCTGTCAGGGCTGTGGCCTATTATGCTAATGAGTTTCTGCTGTTGGGTGTGGCCTATTATGCTAATGAGTTCCTGCTGGGCTTTTTCTACAACCGGTTACATAACCAACCTCTTGTTTTGTTCCCCTTTCAATAAATCCTCTCTTATTTAAGTTAATCCCAGAAGTCATATCAATCATTCCTCAGGAGCACAGAGACCCTTGAAAGCCTAAGCCCTAGGTCACAATACCAACATAAGAAGCTGAGAGTGGATTTGGAATTTAGAAAATTCCTGGGGGCAGCCGGAACTACCTATTTTATAAACACCCAGTATAACTTAAAGAGAAACCTAGTCTTCCCCAATAGGAGCTCATCACCCCCCACACACACACACACACTTTACCTCCGGAGTTGAGAAACCGGTTTCCCACAGCCACTGGGGGGTACTTTTCCGCCAGCGACCACTCCGGCCAGCAGAAGCTTTCCGCCGAGAAGACCAAGTTGCTGTCGAACTGCTGGAACTTCTGCAGAAGTTCGACGGGGCCGCCGGCCAGGATCACGTCATAGCTGGGGGGAGGGCACATCAAGAACCCGGCTTAGTGTGCTGAAACCAACATTTCATCTCTTTGGGGGTGGGGAGAGCAAGCAAAAAGACAACAACAAAACCCCGGCTTTACTGGGGAGGAGATTTCCCCAGGTTCAAACCGTACATACGACTGGTGTGGGGGGGAAATCCCTTCTGCAAAGACCCATCAATGTGGAGGGCACCAGGCAGAGGAGTTAGAAAGGTACATTCCTGCCTGGGGGGCTTTTGTCGCGCCCCTGGGACCCCTAAGCCTGGGGGGAAGGAGCAGAGCACCTCTCTGGACACTAGACTCCTGTGGCAGGAAGGGGGTGGGGCTGAGGCACAGCCAAAGGAAAACAAAGCTATGGGGGTCCGCAGGGGCAAGGGAGAAGCAGACACATTTATTTATTTACCAATGCCCCCCTTTCCCCCACAGCTGGGATGCAAAGTGATTTAGAATCTTGTCCCCCCCTCCTAGGCTTGCCAAGCCCCTGCTGGGAGCGGGTAAATTCCCGCCTGGGAGGCCCTTTACCTGCCGGCAGTAGATCAGGCCCCGGGGGGAACGCCACCCCCTGCCAGAGTGCGTCCCCAGCGTGATGATGTAACCCGGAGGTGACATCATCACACTGGCCACGTTGTGGGGGGGGACACTCTGTGAACCGAGGGAAAACTCTATGGTTTTCCCTCGAGTCACGGTGCCCCGCCTCCAACGTGGGCGACGCGATGACGTCACTTCCGGTGACGTCATCGTGGCACACGCACGTAAAGCGCACGCCCAGGGAGACACCCGACGGAGCCAGGAATCCCCCCGCTTTGAAGGTAAGGCGACTTGGCAACCCTACCCCCTCTTCCAATTTCTCACCACAACAACTCTGCGAGGTAGGCCGGGCTGAGCGTGTGTGACAGGCCCAAGGCTGCGTAGCAAGCTTCCGTGGTAGAAGCTGAGGATCTGAACCCAGGTCTCCCAGTCCGACACTCTCTCCAGGACAGCCAGTAATAGCTCCCCATGGAGGAGAAGGCTCCTTCTTGGGAGAAAGGGCCTATTCAAGAGTAAGCCTGGGGTGGGCAGGGACTGGGAGTAGCCAGGAAAAGGATAAAGAACCCAGCTGGGGAGCATTCAGGAAGGAAGCGGGGCCGTGGCTCAGCAGAAGAGCCTCTGCTCGGCATGCGGAAGGTCCCAGGTTCAATCTCCAGTTCGAAGGACCAGGAAGGAGGTGACGGGAAGGACCTCCACCTGGAGAGCGGCTGCCAGCCTGTGTAGACAAGACCGACCTTGATGGATCCAGGTTCTGATTCCGTCTCGGGCAGCTTCCTGTGTTCAAAGGGGCTGGCTGATGCTAGCAGGAAGCCGTGACAGAGAGCAGCCAGAGAAGCCAGGGGGCTCCACAGTCTGGAGAGAGCCAAGCCACCGTGGGGACTAGGAAGCTGGCAGACCTGCCGAGCAGCACTTCTCCTGGACCAGGGCCGTCGAGCCACCTGATGGCAACGATGCTGGGGGAAGGGTGCAGTGGCCAAGGGCAGGACCCTAAGAGGACCTGCGGAGGCTCCAAGCTGAGGTTTTTATATACCGCTGATGCCACTATATGACTATTAAGAACCACTGGCACTTTATTATAATGACAACGATGTTTTAATGTAATGACCTGTTTTTATGCGGGCAGGGCAAAAATCTGAAAAATAAATAAATAAACTACTAGGAGCTGCGGTGGCTCAAGTGGTTAAGACGCTGAACTGCAGGCTGTGGAAGGTCGGTAGTTCAGCAGTTCGAGACCCAGGGGTGCCGTATGACGGAGTGAGCTCCCGTCTCTAGTTCCAGCTCCTGCCAACCTAGCAGTTCGAAAGCAAGAAATGGCAAGTAGATCAATAGGTACCACTCCGGTGGGAAGGTAACAGCGTTCCGTGCGCCTTGGTGTTTAGTCATGCCGGCCACATGACCACGGAAACATCTTCGGACAGCGAAGGCTCTTCGGCTTGGAAACGGAGATGAGCAACCTCCGCAACCCTCCGCAACCCTCAAGTCGGATTCGACTAGCTTTCGAGCAAGGGAACCTTTACCTTTTTAAACTACACACTCACACACACCTCATCTCATCTGTCCCTAAAAGGTAAAGGTTTCCCTTGCTTGAAGGCTAGTCAAACCCAACTGTAGGGGGCGGTGCTCATCTCCGTTTCCCAGCGCTGTCCAAAGACATCTCCGTGGTCACGTGGCCGGCATGACGCCGAGGCGCACGGAACGCTGTTACCTTCACACCGAAGCGGTACCTATTTATCTACTTGCAATTCCTTGCTTCTGAACGGCTAGGTTGGCAGGAGCCGGGGCCGGAGACGGGAGCTCACTCCGTCATGCGGCACACTCGGGTCTCGAACTGCCGAACTACAGCCCTTCCGGTCTGCAGCTCAGCATCTTAACGGGGTTGAATAAGGGACAGACAAAAGACCAGAGTAATCCTCAACAGCCCGCTGTGGTGTCTATCTACCACTGCCATTCTGCAGTCCCAGTCCTGAGACAGGTGTTTATAGACTTGGACAAAACAATCCCGATCACAAGGGCAAGATTACAGAACCGCCCCCGAGAGAGCCAAAACTCTCCGTCTTGGAGCCTTGCATTTCCCAAGATGGATCCAGAGCACTATTGCTGAACTCACCTGTCCACAAACATGACTATCAGGTCTTCCTCATTGACATACTTCTTCATTTCTGCCTTCAGCCAGCGGACTTTCTGCCCTCCGCCAACCGTCCGGGCAACATCCCCTCCCTTCCAGTCCTCCCCTAGGCCAAGAGTCTGAAAGGGGAGAGGAACAAGTCAAGGGGGGGGCCTTCAGAAAGAAAAATGCTCACCCTAATTCAGATACTCCCATACCTAGGAGAAAACTCTTTAGGAAAGGTGGTAGAGTCCTGAGTGGACAAGGTGGTAGAGGCAAAGAAAGACCTTGATTCAGATACGCCGATACCTAGCAGCAAGCTCTTCAGGCGAGGTGGTAGGGTCCTGAGCAGACAATACCACTTCAGACTGTAAAGTGGGGGAAGCCGTTGAGTGCCAACCAGTGTTCCCTCTAAGCTGAGTTCGTGTGAGCTAGCTCACAGTTTTTTAGCCTCCGTCTCACCCCTTTTTGTCTTCGCTCAGGAAGGAGGGCTCCAGAGCAAACTAGTTTATGGAGGAGCCAAACCGCTCGCTCACAACTTTAATGCCGGTAGCTCACGAAGAACTGTTTGCTCACAAGACTCCAAAGCTTCGAGGGAGCGTTGGTGCCAACATTAAAAGCTCCTTGCAAATTAAAAAAAAATCAAGAGGAACGGCTCTAACTGAAGACGAGGAGGACAAAGCAACCTTTCTGGCTTGAGTGTCCACCCCAAGGGGGGAGGGGGAGAGGCAAGGTCTTTCGCCAGAGAGGTCTTTATACTAGGTACGTTTGTTGTTGTTCAGTCGCACAGCCGAGTTTGACTCTTCGCAACCCCATGGACCACATCACTCCAGGCCCCCCCGTCTTCCGTCGTGCCCCGGAGTTAGCTCAATTTCATGTTTGTTGCCTCAACAACACTGTCCAGCCATCTCATCCTTTGCCGTCCCCATCTTCTTTGACCTTCAATCCTTCCCAGCATCAGGGTCTTCTCCAGTGAGTGCTCCCTTCTCATTGGGTGGCCAAAGGGAGGTATGCGGTGTATGGTTTTTGCAGGGGAACAAAGGGTTAAAGCCCTAACCTGGGTGGCCCAGGCTAGCCCATTCTTGCCAGAGCTCTTAAGCTAAGCGGCATTGACCCTGGTTAGTATTTGGATGGGAGACCACTAGGAAAGCCCAGCTGCTATGTCAATCCAGACAGTGGCCAACCACCTCTGTTTGTCTTTTGCCCTGGAAACCAATGGGATTTCCAGAAGTCAGTGGTGACTTGACAGTGACATGATTGCAGTCTTCAAGTATTTGAAGGGCTGTCATGTAGAAGATGGAGCAGATCTATTCTCTCTGGCTCCGGATTGCAAGACTAGATCTAATGGGTGGAAATGACAAGGGAGTCGTTACCGGCTAAATATCAGGAGAAACTTCCTAACTGTAAGAGGGGTTGAGCAGTGGTGCTCCTTCGCTGGACGTTTTCAAGTGGAGGCTGGACGACCATCTTTCGGGTATGTTGTAGGGCTATCTTTCGGCTCTGCTCCTGCAGAGTACAGGGGGTTGGACTAGATGACCTGCAAGGTCCCTTCCAACTCTAACTTTCTATGATTCTATGACAGGACTTTCCACCAGCAAAGGTCTCAAATGAGGCTGCATTAGACAGGTCAGGCTGAAAGTGGTTTTGGTTTCAGTGCACACAGTGATATGACTGTGGTTGAAGGGAAAAAAACACACACCATCTTTTGTAGTATAGGGTTGCCAACCCCCAGGTGGTGGCTGGAGAGCTCCTGTTAGTACAACTGATCTCCAGGGGCCACACAGATCAATTCCCCTGGAGAAAATGGCCGTTTTGGAAGCTGGACTCTATGGCATTATACTCCATTGAAGTCCCTCCCCTCCCCAAACCCTGCCCTCCTCAGGCTCCACCCCCAAAATCTCCAGGTATTTCCCAACCCGGAGTTGGCAACCCTATTACAGCCTCTCTTGCTCGCCTTTAAATGCAAAATCTCACCAGAGGCTCAGCTTTAGGAATGTCAGTCCAATTGTTTTAAACAAAAGGAAATCGTAGATTTGCATTTACTAGTTTCGTGGGTAAACACGAGGAGAGGAGGCTTATTGTACCTTGACCGTGTAGTTGAAGTATTTGGTTGTTCGTAGGAAGCGCTGGTACCCTTCCGTCTCCTCCGTGGCTGCCGTCAGTACCAGCAGCTTCCCTAGAGAAAGGGAGAGAAAACAAACAAACAAACAAAAAACCCCATGACATTGAGAATAAATGCAGCCTTAACATTCTCAAAGAGACATGACGGACATCTTCCCATCTGTATCAGAGCTAGGAAAGCAGCACTACAGAATTCCCAGGCTCCAGGTCACCCAGGTTTCTAAAAACTTTTAATTGGCGCCAAGCGATTTCGAAACTTTTCTCCCCCAGACCAACAGTTCTGTGCTGAAGTCTTAGATTCGGACTGTGAACTATCCAGGTTTTATTTATTTATTTATTCAATTTGTACCCCGCCCTCCCCGCGAGCAGGCTCAGGGCGGCTCACACAGATGGTACAAAAATACCAACAAATCCACATAAAATCACTGAAAAACAATTCAATTAAAATACAAGTAAAATCTAGGGCTGCCAAGTCCCCCCGGGGGGCGGAAAAAACCCCGCCCCAGAGGCCCGTTCCCCGATGCCGGGGAATCGGGCCCCGGGGGGAACCCCGCCCCAGCGTGCACGTCACAGGGAAGTGACGTTATGACGCCAGGCACGCTGTGGGCGGGGCCACGGCCATACAAGGGAAAACTCTATGGTTTTCCCTTGTATGGTCGTGGCCCCGCCCCCAGCGTGCCCAGCGTCATGACGTCACTTCCCTGTGACGTGCATGTGGCGCGCGCACGCGCCAGGAACCAAACGGGAGTCCCCCGCCGGCAAGGTAAGTGCCACTTGGCAACCCTAGTAAAATCATAAGATCATAAGGTGCTAGTGTTCCTCCATTCGCTGCTTGAGGTGGTGTACGAAGAATGTTTGCAAGCAGACAGTCCAGCTCAGTGGTCTTCTTGAGTCACGCGGTGGTATAGGCCAGATGTTAAGGCTGAGGGCCGGGCTTGTCGATGGTAGCGGTCAAGACGGCTCCTTAGTTGAAAGCCTGGTGGAAGAGCTCCGTCTTGCAGGCCCTGCGGAACTGTAGAAGATCCTGCAGGGCCCTGATCTCTTCCAGGAGCTCGTTCCACCAGTAAGGGGCCGCCACTGAGAAGGCCCCAACCCTGGCCCTGGTTCAAATCCCCATGAAGCTCATTTGGTGACCTTGATCCAATCGCTGGCTAACCTTTGCTAGCCCACATCACCGGGCTGTTGCTTTCAGGTCTGAACTTCCACTCTGCCATGGAAGCTTGCTGGGCGACCTTAGATCAGTCACACCCTCTTCGCCTAACCTACCCCACAGGCTTGTTGTGAGGAAAGAACAATATAAGCTGCTTTGGGTCTCTAGTGGGGAGAAAGGCAAGGATATAAACAAAAGCAAATACATTAAAAAATATACATTGTGGAGATAAAATGGGGGCGGGGCAGAATAGCCCACACCACCTTGAGCTCTCGGGAGAACAGGTTGGATAAACACAGGAAACAGATGACACTAAGTCAACTGCCAGCTGTCCACAGCCCTTGGATTAAAGACCTTGGATCTATTCCTCCCCGTTCAAACTTGGGTTCCAGGTCCAAACCTCTGTTGTCCAGACACAAATGTGTCAACCAGAGCTTGGCCTTTTTAAGGAAGCAAACTGAAGGTGGCAGCCGGGTGAGAGTTCACCTCAGTCCAAAAACAGAAGAGTTTAAATTCTGTAATCTCTATGAGCTAATGGGGTTGCCAATCTCCAGGTGGGGCCTGGAGATCTCCCCCAGAATAACAACCAGTCCCAGGCAATGTTCCCTCTAACCTGTGGAGTCCCGTGAACAAAAATTCTACTTTGTGAGCTACTGGCATTAAAGTGGTGAGTGAACGCTTTGGCCACTGGATAAATTAGTTTGATCTGGAGCCCCATCCTTCCTGAGCTGAGACAAAGATGTGTGAGCCAGAGGCTAAAAAATGGTGAGCTGGCTCACACTAACTCAGCTTAGAGGGACCACTGGTCCCCAGGCTACAGAGATCAGTTCCCCTGGAGGAAACGGCAGGTCCGGAGGCCAGACTAGGTCATCATATCCCCACAGAGTTTTCTCCACTCCCCAGACTCTGCACCACCAGGTACCACCACCACCCAACTCCCCAGGAATTTCCCAGTTGGTGTCGTGGTTAAGTGCGCAGACTCTAAACTGGGAGAACCGGGTTTGATTCCCCATTCCTCCACTTGCACCTGCTGGATGACCTTGGGCAAGCCATAGTTCTGTCAGAGCTGTTCTCTCAAGACCAGCCCCGCCTTCCTCACAAGGTGTCTGTTGTGGGGAGGGGGAGGGAAAGGAGACTGTAAGCCGCTCGGAGACTCTGAATGAAGGGCAGGGTATGAATCCTCCTCTTCTTCCTCTTCTTCCAGTATAGCTTCCAGGCCCCTTCTATTCCAGGCCCAGATTCTGTTCTCCTTCTGGGGGAGGGGGGGAATGCACTGAACCCTAAAGCCCCCTCCATACAACATCCCGTCCCCGCCACTCCCCACCACGCCAAACTATCGCATTCCTGGCCAGAAGGTGCTTGAAGGGTGCTCCTCTGTCCTCAGGGCATCCAGCTGCTGCAAGAATCCAAAAAGGCAGCAGGGGGGGACTCTACTCTACACGGGCGGGGGCGGGGGGGCCTCTCCGGGGGATTGAGGGGAGGAACACAGGACCCCTGTTAAAAAAGAGGAACGAAAATGCCTTGCGCTCAATTAGCCCGAGAATGTTTGTTTTGGGCCTGGATTCAGGCCGCACCTGAGCAGGGAACGGGGCACGGCTTTCAGGTGCCGGTTACGTGTTCAATGCGAGCAGAGGAAGAGGGAACTCTCCACCCCTTCCCCGGACTCCACATCCTTAATAGCAAACATGATGTGCTCTGTCTCATGCGCTCATGTTCCCTTCCAACTGTCAGCATGATTGATGAGCATGGTGGGTTGAAAGGGGGGGAGGGAATCAAGACACTGGATCCCCCACAACCCTGCCTCTCAGGCCGTGTGACAATGCAGATGCCCACAGACTTGGGGAGGACAAGGGGGTGGGTGGTCTGTGCGCACACACCATCCCGTAGTTAGAAGAACCCACACAGCTGCAGCGCTGGCTGGCAGGGAAGTCATTCGGCAAGGAGGACGTGTCCGTTCTCGCTTGTCTCCAGGGCTCTCTCTCTGTCCAAACGAAGCCAGCTGTTGGGAAGGCCTTGGTCCAGGATTTCTTTCCTAAGTTTCAAGGGTCCAAGAGCTGGTCACTGCAGATACAAGACGGAATCCTTTCCTTCTGCATTAATCAACTGAAAATCACTGCCCCTTCCTCTCCTTCGGTATTCAGTAGCGTTGTTGGGGACTTACAGTTCCAGACCCACCTAGATACAGAAGAAGTAGAGATTGGATCTATATCCCTGCCCTTCACTACCCGAAGGAGTCTCAGAGTGGCTCACAAACTCCTTTCCCTTTACCCTCCCCCACAACAGACACCCTGTGAGGCGGGTGGGGCTGAGAGAGCTCTCTCGAGAACTGCCCTTGAGAGAACAGCTCTGAGAGAATTTGTGACTGACCCAAAGTCACACCAGCATCTGCATGTGGAGGAGTGGGGAATCAAACCCGGTTCTCCCAGATTAGAGTCCCCACTCCTAACCACTACGCCAAACTGGTAGCACCTTAGAAACAAACAAGATTCTTGGTGAATGCGCTTTCGAGAGTCAGAGCTCCCTTTGTCAGATAAAGGTAAAGGTTCCCTTGCTCGAAAGCCAGTCGAGTCCGACTCTAGGGTTGCGGTGCTCATCTCCGTTTCCAAGCCTAAGAGCCAGCGCTGTCCGAAGATGTTTCCGTGGTCATGTGGCCGGCATGACTAACCACCAAGGCGCACGGAACGCTGTTACCTCCCCACCGAAGCTGTCCCTGTTTATCCACTTGCAATTTCTTGCTTTCGAACCCCATTCCAATTGTTTGACTGCAGACCAGTGTGGCTACCCTCTGAAACCTGAAGCAGCTCCCACCGGTCTCCTCTCCTCCGTTTTAATCCTCCCAACAATAATCCTGTGAGATAGGTTAGGCTGAGAAGCAGGCTTCAGTGACCGAAAGGGGATTCAAACCTGGGCCTCCCAGATCCGACTCCGACACTCTAAGCACTACACCACACTGGATCTCACGATGCCTCCCATTCACAATGAAATTTGCACAGGAGGAGAGCCACTGAGTGAACCTCGATCATGCGCAAGAGTGCAAATGGAGGCTCACACAGACAGGTAGGGTTGCCAGGTCTGGGTTGGAAAATACCTGGAGACTTTGGGGGTGAATCCAGGAGAGGGTGCGGTTTGGGGAGGGGAAGGGCCTCAGCATGGTACAATTCCATAGAGTCCACCCTTCAAAGTGCCATTTTCTCCAGGGGAGCTGATCTCTGTCGGCTGGAGATCAGTTGTAAAAGCGGGAGATCTCCGGGCCCCACCTGGAGGCTGGCAACCCTACAGACAGGGCGCTTCACAGCTGAGGGAATCAGACCTTTTTGTGCCTATTCCAGAAGCAGAGGAAAGAGCTTCCTGTGTAAAGCACATAACACTAGACAGGCTTTGCCTCTCCCCCACACCACCCCGCCACCTTGGCAAAGCGATTGACAGGGAAACTTCGTGCTACTCTGAGTCTCTCGAGATCCTTGATGCTCAAATTATACCTCCTAGACTCCGTACAGCTAAGTACAGACAGCCAGTTTGGTGTAGTGCTTAGGAGCGCGGACTCTATAATCTGGGAGAACCGGGTTTGATCCTCCGCTCCTCCACTTGCAGCTGCTGGTGCGACCCTGGGTCAGCCACAAGGTCTTTCAGAGCTGTTCTCTCAAGGGCAATTCTCGAGAGAGAGCTCTCTCACAGGGTGTCTGTTGTGGGGAGGGGAAGGGATTGTACGCCGCTCTGAGACTCCGTTGGGTAAGGAAGGGTGGGGTATAAATCCAATCTCCTTCTCTCTTCTTAGCAGCTCAAGGGATTCTTTCTCAGCAGAACCGGTCGCGATATTCTGGGCAGCTTCTCTCACTGTGAGTATTTCCCCCTCCCTAAACCGGTGCCGCTCGTCTTTCCATTTGGCTCCGGAGGGCCAAGCGGCAGCAGCAGGGCGTTGGGTTCCTCAATGGAGCTTTCATTTGGTCAGGAATGTCGTCTTGGGGGAAGGCCAAGGCTGCTGCTCTGGCAGAGACACCCGACACGTCCAGGAACGGCGTTCTTGCCAGCTAAGCCAGTGCTGGATGGGGAAGACAGGGGTGCCTTGGGCAGGGCGGGTAGAGAGGCAGAGCAGCCCTGCTCCAAGTCTTTCTCTGCCCTTCCACCGCCCCAGCAGCCTGGCACGGTGCATCCGGGTATGGGACTACCTGCCACAAAGCAAGGCTGTTGAAACAAGAGAGCCTGTGACCACCTGACGGCCTTCTCGGATGACACTTCCACATCTTTAAGCCTTTGGTTTACTTATTTACATTTATTTATTTTATTGACTTCTTGTATTTACATCCCGCCCTATCCCCTGATTTATTTATTGTAAGGTAAAGGTAAAGGTTCCCTTGCTCGAAAGCCAGTCGAGTCTGACTCTAGGGTTGTGGTGCTCATCTCCGTTTCCAAGTCGAAGAGCCAGCGCTGTCTGAAGACGTTTCCGTGGTCATGTGGCCGGCATGACTAAACACCAAGGCGCAAGGAACGCTGTTACCTTCCCACCGGAGTGGTACCTATTTATCTACTTGCAATTTCTTCCTTTCGAACTGCTAGGTTGGCAGGAGCTGGAACGAGAGACGGGAGCTCACTCCGTCATACGGCACCCGGATCTCGAACTGCTAAACTACTGACCTTCCACAGCCTGCAGTTCAGCGTCTTAACCACTTGAGCCACCACAGCTCCAATATTTATTTATTTATGTATTTATTGTACTTATCCACTTTATTTATACTCTGCCTTTCTCTCCAACAGGGGCCACGGTGGCTCAGTGGTTAAGATGCTGAGCTGCAGACTGGAAGGACGGCAGCTCAAGACCCAAGTGCCACGTGACGGAGTGAGCTCCCGTCTCCGGCCTCGGCTCCTGCCAACCTAGCAGTTCGAAAGCGAGAAGTCGCAAGTAGATAAATAGAGAGGGAAGGTCACAGCATTCCGTCTGCCTCAGCGTTTAGTCATGCCGGCCACATGACCATGGAGAAGTCTTCGGACAGCGCTGGCTCTTTGGCTTGGAAACGGGGATGAGCACCGCATCCCTAGAGTCGGATTCGAGCGAGGGAAACCTTTACC